AAATGTTATAAAGATTTGGTAATAACTGCTGCAATTGCACCAATAAACCAAGTTTAAAAAATTACGTTTTAATATTACCTTGAGACATCTGAATAAGTCAAGACGAAGGTTATGGAAGTGCACTATATTCCTCGGTCGCAAGATGTCGCTTTTGATTAGTGGCCTGAATGGAATTTCCCATATCGAAGATCCCGGATGTAACGCATGAGGCTGCTTAGGTATTTACTTAGCAAAAATAGCAAAATATCAGGAATTATAAGGGTATTAGGCATAGAGCCATAGGATAAAAATGGAGCTAAAGATACTACGGGCAAGGGCAATCAATTACATTGTGTTTTATTCGTGCTGTTGGACAGATTTAAACAGAGTTACGTTATCGCCCCCCTCCCCCCCCCCCCCGTGAAAACTTTATGAATTCGTACAACCTAACAATATGTTAGTGCATTAAGCTTGATAACGTTTGACAGCTCTGTTATTGTAGCCACTCCATTTTGTGTTGTCTCATGAAGTTATACCAAAATAAAACATTTCACTTTTGACACATGCATCTTTGCTCTTTATTCATCAGTATTGTCCAGACATTACAATTGCAATGAAACATACAGATGAAACATAGTTCCTCTGTAATATACAACATGACACTACTGATTCCAAAAAATGTCTTCCCCATACATAGAGCTGTGTAACCTACTCTAACAGAGAAATTAGCTCCACATACATATCCTAAACTCTTTCCTGTCTCTCAAATCTTCAATCACAAATGAAAATCTGTATCTCTACCTAAACATTTTCCCTCCCAACATCTGCTTCGAGATTAATATTTTTCACTAATTCCATTGAAGCAAATGATAATGGAAGCCAACTTATTACCCTGTTTGGTGTTACAGGTATGAACATACTAGGTAATACATTCTTTCCTCTCTAGCAGTTACACAAATCTATGTGGACATCCTCAAAGAACACAAAACTACATGGCCAGCGGCCGAGATAAACTTTTTTCAAAAGTCTTGTTTATACACCAACCCAACGGTACAGCATTGCCAATATGATTCTGTCTTTGCATCCACCAAAAGATCTGCTTGGAGATTTTTAGGTGGTGGGTTGATTTGAACATGTTATGAATAGACAAAGGCTCACCCTGCAAAGAAACCATACGTCTATGGAAATTCCAAGTGTCAACTGCGTTGTTACACGATGACGATTCAAAGAAATGATGATTTCATCAAGGAAAGAACATCTCAAATTGAAAATGTCATGCTCTCATGAATAGCCACCAATAGGTTGATTGGGATATTTTATGAATAAGTCTCAAACAAAGAAAACCATAAAACTATGGAAATGGCCAAATGTCAACTGCGGTGCTAAACGATGATGCTTCAAAGAAATGATGATGTTTCCATCAAAGAAAGAAAGAAAGAACATCTCGAATTGAAAACGTTTGTTGCCCAGGTGCTCCGATCAGCACAGTGTTCCTGAGTCCCGCCATCACGCCCTGGATGCGGAGAAACAACCCTGCCTTCAGACAGTACGTGTACAACCGGGATACGGGGGAACTGCAGGTAGGGGGCGCTACTTTCCACTTGCAATATTGATGGACGATCGTTTCACAATTGAAAATATGCAGTTGTTGATTCCTACTGAATATTGAGGTTTTTGGTCCTTAAATTATGCCATTGGTGTGGAACAGCGTGAGAAAGTTTGTGTCTTACTAGTTTGGTCGAAGTTGCAGGTTTGGAATGCCCTGCCGCTCCTCCAAGAGGTTCAGAAAGAAATCAAAATTAAAGGTGATAAAATCTGCGTATGTGGGTTCAATGAATTAAACCCGTAAGAGGCATATATAGAAATTACAGAAAGCACAACCTTCTCAATGTAAATCCCACCATTCTTGCACTCTCTGTAGGACTACCTACAGTACTACGCCAACCTGACCAAAGCCAACCGACTCCAGTTGACGGACTTGGACTGGCAGCTCGAGTACCAGGCCACGGTGGATTATGGGATCGATGACGTCAACCCCGTCTCCATGGAAACGCTGAGGAAGTCTCTCAACGAAGTTCCAAGCGATGCCTTTGAGAAGTATTACAAGCATAATTCAGTGGGAGTGGACTATGTGTATGGTTCATGCATAGGGAACTGTAGGGCGGCTCAACTTTGCTCCACATACAGGGTGGACTATGACGAGTATGACGTGTGCTGGAAGGGTACAGTGGCAGGGGTTACATGTCAGAACCTGGCTGATGTAATGCTTACTGTGTTAGCACTTGCAGTAATGGCTGTAGTTTGCCATTTGGTTTGATTTGGGCAACTGAGTTGCTGAGAATGTTGACGTTTGTATCTTGTTAGCTTGAAATTAATACTTTGAAGTCCTATTTTGTTAACATCTGAAGAAAAAAAAATAATTAATACAATATACAAAGCTTTGCTGATAGTGTGATAGCATGTATAGTATTACCAAGTTAATTTACCAGCTCTTACGGGTATATTGCTTAATTAAGGTCTAGACTTCTAGACTTATGGGTGCCTTTGAAATTTATAAACCTAAGTTGGCCTCACTGATTATACTTATTCGACAAACATTGTACAATGGATTGTGCTGACCTTGGTTTTTATTGGTAGCAGAACAATCTGTATCACAACATTCATGTTCCTCTGGCCTCTAACAAGGTTGTCTCATAACTCAAGAAGCTCCTCAAAACATTCTGGCTGAACCTGAGAACAGTTTGATAAATACTTCATATTTTCACAGTCTTTTATCTTGAGAGATTCAAACATTTACAACCAATGCATTCAACATGAAGCAACTTGTGTATGTTACACTATATTGAACTGCATAGGATATAATCATAGCTTAATTATCCAAATAGAAACTGTTACAGATATATTACTTCATATTGTCACACTTAACAACGGTACTTGGTATATTTATATTTAACATCATAAACTTTTGGATTGAATATGCTTATTTTGTAATCCGAACCATTTGCAACAAAACTAGGCCATACGGAATTGTTTGGTGAACATGTATGTATATTCTTAATAAATCATCATATCTGGAGTACTAAAAACAAGACATTATTAAGTAATTTATTAATAATACCATTTAGGAAGCATTGCCATTTTAAAGATAACCAACATACTTAACCGTTAATTCCATAACTGTATATATTAACCTTGTCAACAATATCAAATTCCAATAACGTTTGAAAATGTCTCTTTGACCTAAAGTGCATAGCAGTATGACATTGGAAATGGAACATATCATCTTCCATAAAGTAATTCATCAGGATTTTAAATATTTTGTACACAATGTATTTGATCTGAAGATTAGCTTACTTGCTGAGTCAATGTTCAAATTATTTAAGATGTGTCTTAAGTCTATGTTCTCCCATCCTTATCATCTGAGTAACAGGGTCAAGTCACAAACCCTTGACAACTTAAGTACATCTCATAAGTCAAAATGTGACACCATGTTTTGACTTATCAATACTGTACATTTGCGACTCATGCAAAAAGGACAGCTGGTTATGGCATAAAGAAATGTGTTAATTACTGTGCACCTTCTGCATGTGGGTTCTCAGTTCATGTGGCCTCAAAAAACCCCTGTGACACACCTGACACCTGTGAGGAAACTCCTTAGTGTGATTATTGATTACATGGCACTTCCAACCTGTCCTGTCACTGAACCTCATGTCACAGTGTTCACATTTGTATGGCTTCTCACCAGTGTGAAGTCTCATGTGTTTCTTTAGATCACCTCTCACTGTACATCCCTTCCCACACACTGTGCAGACATGAGGCTGCAGGCCAGAATGTGTTAACATGTGTGTGGTCAGGTTTGACTGTCGGTTGAATGACCTCCCACACTCCTCACACCTGTAGGGTTTCTCTCCAGTGTGAACCCTCTGGTGTCTCTTCAGGCCTCCCTTCTCTATAAAACCCTTCCCACAAGTCGGACACTTGAATGGTCTCTCTCCTGTGTGGGTCAGCATGTGTTTCTTCAAGTTATTTTGTATGTTAGTTGAATAAGTACAGTGTTGACACTTGAACCGTTTTAACCCTGACCTGTCTGCATGAGTCTTCACATGTCTGTCCAGGTAGTCCTGGGTAGAGAACAGCTTCCCACACCTGCTGCACCTGTAGCCTGCAACTGCACCTGTCTGGATACCTGTAATGATATAACAGGTAATATCAATCAGTGCTATACTTAAACAATGTGTGTTCATGACCTGTCTGCATGTTTCTTCACATGCCTGTCCAGGTAGTCCTGGGTGGAGAACAGCTTCCCACACCTGCTGCACCCATAGCCTGCAACTGCCTCTATACCTGTAATGTAAGGATACCTGTAATGATATAACAGGTAGTTGCTTTAGTGCTATATCTAAACAATGTGTGTACATGACATGTCTGTCCAGGTAACAGTTTCCCACATCCACTGCACCTGTAGCCTGCAACTGCACCTGTCTGGAGACCTGCAACAATAAAAAGGTAATTGCTTAAATGTAATTGGCATTTCTGTCCAGGAGAACAGCTCACCACACCTGCTACACCTGTAGCCTGTTTGATACCTGCAGGGAAATTGTCAAAAAAAAGTGTGCACCTTTTTATAGCCTCCTTCGCAGTCTTGTTGGGCGTCGGCGTTATTTTTTCTCTGAGCGACGCGAGTAATATGCCGCCGCGAGGGACGATTTGCTGCCGAGGGAGTTTTTGCCACGGAGAGAAGGTTTCGCGCTCCAACAAGACTGCTTGCAGTCGGCGACTAGAAAGGGCTATCAAAAAACACTTAGGAGCGATTGGCATGGATGTGTGAACTTCCCGCAATAAACGCCACCAGTGCAGGGAGGTGTTCACGCCCCGTTGCTCGACGAGCCTAAACTTGCAACTTTCCTAGCGGTCGCCGATCAACCCGTCGGTAGAACACCAACCATTCCCGAAAACCGAGCCCTATCCACTCAACAAAATCCCGTAGTCATTGCTGCTACGAAAAACAACTTTGAAAAGATCACTACCACAGGAACCCCGCAAGCTAAACTGACACTGATATTGCTGGGGGACGTGGACAGATAAACAAAGTGCCACCATGTTGTTTGATCTCACTGGTCATGGGAGGGTAACGCACCGCTCCGCAGCAAGTTGCGTAATAGAAAGAATGGCACATTTCACCAGCAAAAATAGTACTGCAAAGTTTGTCTTGGTTTGTTTGCATGGGATGCTTAAATATGCACAGCAATGCCTTTGTTGTAACACTACCAATTTTCTCTGTTGGAACCTTCCACTAACGTTAACGCAAGCTAATAAAACCAAAGGCAAGCGCGTGTCAGCCTTCTCCATGCGTATGTGTGAATTACCCTTGCGCGAACATGTGAATTGGACCTGCATGCGCGAACATGTGAATTGCCCCTGCACGAACATGTTAATAGCCTCTATGAAAGGCTGGCTTAATCCGAGGTCCTTTCTAGTCGCCGATTGCAAGCAGTCTTGTTGGAGCGCGAAACCTTCTCTCCGTGGCAAAAACTCCCTCGGCAGCAAATCGTCCCTCGCAGCCGGCCGCATATTACTCGCGTCGCTCATAACGCCGACGCCCAACAAGACTGCGAAGGAGGCTAGTATTATTACATGTTTGATCAAGGAGTCTAGGGCGAAGAACACCTTGCCTCACTTGCTTCACCTGCATTTGTGTGGATACCTGCTAAGAGAGCAGAGAACAGATTTGTTATGATGGTTTCAAAAAAAAAAGTGACACTTGTATCTGTCCAGGTAGACCTGGGTGTAGAATGGTTTCCCACACCTGGTACACAGTCCTGTAGCCTGCAACTGCACCTGTCTGGAGACTTGTAATGTTATAACAGGTAATTAATTCAGTGCTATGTTTAAACAATGTGTGTACAGGACATGTCTGCCCAGGTAACAGTTTCCCCACAGCTGCTGCACATGTAGCCTGAAACTGCACCTGTCTGGATACGTACCTGCATGTGGCTGACATGTATCATATTTAGGTTTGTAAAGTGCAGATATGACTTGTGCTTTCACATATGAGACCAGGGAATACTGCTACATTCGTAGCCTGCAAATGCACCTGTGTGGATACATATGGACAAAATTATATAACAGGTCTTAGCAAGAAATGATGCATCCATGTTAGAACTAGAAGAGACACTGTCAGTTCTTTTTAGAATAGAGCCCATAGTGACAGGAGCATAGACCACTCATAAAACACACCATACTCTACCCTAAACACTGTCAGATGTAAGGTATAAGGAGTTTCAATAAAGAATTACTCTTTGATGTTTTAGGGATTAGTCCCCTGGAGTGATTGACAAACAATATTTGCATTGAGTTCTATCCGGACTGAGTTGAATGTTCTACTTTTCTACCAATCCCTGAAATGAAATGAGGTATAAGCCTTACTTTGCTTTTGCTTACTGGGCTCCTCTCCCTTGGTCTCTTCCTTTTCTGAGATGCCCAGCTCTTTGGCGTACTCATTCCCATACCACACCAGCAGCTCAGTGCCAGGGCGAATGGGCTTGTAGGTGCGGTAGTAGATGTTCCTGTAGTACTGGAAGGCCACCAGGTTCTGCTCCTCCTCATTCCGCGCACAGTTGACGTAACGCATCCAGCTGCTCTTGGTGACATCAGTTGCGTCAATGTAGTACTTCACCTTGTCATTCTTGGAGATCTGCATGAAAATAATTTGGTACAAATGTATCACACTTATGTGTGGTCTTGTATCTTATGTCTTGTTTTCTGCATCAAAAAGCTAAGCAATCCATGCAGCAGTTTGAACACAAAACAAGTGTCCATAGGCGACAATTCTCCGTGAAGTTTTATATTTTGCAGATTGAGAACAGTAAAAGTGTATGTAAACAGTGTGTGATCAATTAACAACTGCAGTGTTCGAAATACTTTTTTGACAGCACGGTGTGCTACCTAGGGCAAAAACTAGGTTGCGCATCAGAATTTTAGGTTGCCCCCCCCCCCCCGATTTTTGTCAAATTCTATATAATTCTATGCACGTGTCGCAATAGCATATTTCTTCTAATCATATAAGTATAATACCTCCATGTTCTAATAATTATCTATTCATGTTTTATGTTTACAAGGCAACATTTGTAGGTGCGGTAGTAGATGTTCCTGTAGAACATTTGATCACATATGCTTAAAAATATTATTGTTACATTAAAAAACATTATAAGACACTGAATCGCTGTCTGTGCATACGTAGCGTGCCGGACATCGGCCGTGCATGCCTACCATGCCCCACTTGCGAAATAAATTCCTGAGGCTAAAACGCGCGCACATCGTGCGTGATCCCCAAATATTTCCGTTGTTAAAACATAGTCACTGGAATCTGAAATGTATTCATACAGGATAATTTCCCTAACTTCAGCAGGAGTTTTGTTTATGTTTGGATCGGTAAAGATAAGCAAACCAAGGTCCTTGGTCAAAATCACGCTGGTCTAGGCTGCACTTCCGGGTTCCATAAGAGCAAAAAGAAACCATGAATCGACAAAGGAACATAAATTTCCCCAAAAGGTTATTTGAATCATGCCTTTTTTCACTGAATGTGGCTATGCACTCGTGGAAAACAGCGATCTCGAGGTAGTGCATATTTTCAAACAGAAAAATTGTACAGATTCGCGTCCCTGCGCCTTTGTCTTGACAACCAATCAGAGACGCATAACGCGGATACGTCATGCAAGATTTGCATACCGACCGGCCACCAGGCACCAGCCGCTCCATGCCAGCACCTAGCTGCATGCAAGCTACTTCCGCCCGCGGAAAGGGCTGCAACAGCCGGACGAAAACACTTCCACAACATTATAGGGATGTTTCTAAAGTATGCAATTACATCAATATAGAGACTGCTACGGTAAAAATAAAAAGACGTGCATCATCACGGACATAATGGCACACCACATTCCCAATTACACAGAAATGCTATGTACGGAAGAATGTGTTTTGGCTGCGAACATCTTCCAAAAAACTTACCATCTCTTAAGCACGGGCAAAAACATCTGGAACCACTTATCGGCCCCTCGTTACATCTGCCTGAGACTCCCCCCCCACTCCTATTCCAAACAATGCGGTTTTCTGGACCATTCCAATTTGCCTCATAATTGTAGGGGTGCATCTGCAATATTACATTGACCGCGAAAGCAGCAACGGCAAAAATACACATTCGTGCATCATAATGGGCATGCCCGCAGACGGCGTGTAAAATTGCGTGCCGTTTACACAAAGGGAACCCAGTGTTTTGACTGCGAACACGAAAAAACAGCTGTTCACAACACTCCGTCCGGAGGTCCTGACCTCCTTCACAGAGTAACAAGTGACACAAAGGGCTATCATGTTGACAAATTACATAATGAAAGGAGCATACTAAGTCTTGTAGTTTGTTTCTATTGATATCCTCATATAATTTAAGCAAACAGTACACTATAGGGATAATGTAACGAGAATACAGTCTATTACTTACTTGCCATGCATATCCACTTGTCAGTCCTATCTCAGGCCCAGTGATTTTCCCATCGTATGGCCCAAACACCAGGTTCTTGGGCATGGCCTGTCCATCCAGCCAGACCCCATCCCCTGCCCCCTTGATCTTGGATGGACACACAGACAAGTAGTCAGGTAGGGTGTGGACGGCCCTGTTGGGTTCTCCCTTGGGAACTACCTTGTCCTTCACGACAGTCAGTGGACCATGGACTGGGCAGTCTCCCTCATACAGCTCATTGCAGTCTTCACAGACTGAAACAAAATGAAATCATATTCAACTTGTCAACTGCAATAAAGTTATAAAAGAATATTTAAAATCTTCCACTAAAGCATGTATACCAGTCTGGACTACCAAACAGATTTGCTTGGACTGCTATAGGGTGTTAAATAAAAAAAAAGGTTCCACTGGCTAATTGTTTCTATCTGTACAATTAATACAAAACAGCAAGCATTTAATGAAATTCCAGTATCAAATATGGGAAAATATAACATGTACTACTATAAAGATGTAATCATTAAGCGATTCAATACATGTACATACACAAATAGTGGTCATCATCTGGAAGTTCCACTTCCTTGTAGTTCTTTCGTGGGATGTTGCGTTTTGGGTAGCGACTCCTCTGAGTCTCCTCCCTATCCACCACTGGCTCTGGCTCCTTCAGTTCCTGCAGCTTTGGTGGTTGCAGTGTGGTGGTCAGCAGCTCTGTTATAACACAAGATATCAAATGAATGCTCATTTAAACTGCAGAAGGGACATGGAACAAGGCAATTCACTGTGACAATATTGTCACAGTTTTGCAATCTGTAACGTTGTTGCTAAAAGGTTACGGTGTGGTATGTGTGGTAAATTTAACCTGTAAAGTTCAACATGTCTTTATTCACAGTTGAATTGGGCAAAATGTATGATTAGCATTTTATGCATACTAGTATTTTAGCAGCCCAACTGATCAAACTACAATCATTAAAAAAGAATGCGTTTGACAAATACCTTCCTCCAAATCAGTACTGATGTCTGACTCTGACTCCTCCTCCTGTCCATCCTGTGGTCCAGCAGCCTCCTCTTCCTGGATCTCTAGTTCCAGAGCCTCCATCTTCTTCTCCAGCTCTGCAAGGCCAGCTGCAGTCGCAGCCTTAACCTCAGCCACCTCCTCTGCTTGGAACCCCATGAATGTCTTTGCCACATCATCATCACTGGGAGCTTTGCTTACTGTTGCTTCTGCTTTCTTTTTTGCCTGCAGTTACAAGAAATGACAGTGTTATGATGATATGTGTTAGATCAAGATCCACAGAGTCTCTGAGGTTAGTGAGGTACCCTTTAAAACAGATCAATTTTCTGTTTGTATGGGCTGTCCTTGGTGCTGATTGTTATACTCAATGGAAAGCACACCCCACAATACAGTTTCACACCAGGTCCTACTATTTGATATTGAATCATTGGTGTCTACAAGCTAAATTAAACAGAGAAATGTCTACTACACTGGTTGGAAAAAAATACGTGTGAGCTAGCCAGCAGGAGGGCATAGCATGGAGGCTTAAGTACACTTGAGCACTTCAAGATATGTATTACATAAGAGTTGTGTAATGAAATTAAGTTGTGATGTCCTTACCTTAGAATTTTGTTGAGGACCAGTTGTCTTGGGTTTGGGTTTTGAAATCCTGGGTTTCTTGGGTGGCAACAGGAACCAAGCTGTGGATAGATCACAACAAGATATTAATTTGAATAGCTGAAAAACCCAATCAAACAACCTGAGTGTCTGAACAGTCAATGACAGTACAGTAGGGATGACACATACACACAACTGCATTGGTTAACATTTGTGTCTAAACATTTCTTCAACATGAAAAGAAAGAAGGTTGCCACTCCTGTCAAAAAGAAAACAACACAATCATAATCCATGTAAATGATGCCTCAAAACAGAAAATATGAAAATCTTTGTCAGTTGTATTTGTCATATAATTGTAATCCTCTGTCTGTCATGTTATCTTCCCTTGTCTAAAACACTGTACTCACGTTTCTTTGGGCGCTGGTTCTTCTTCCTCTCCAGTTCAGGTGTCCATTCCTCATCTTCCTCCTCCTCACTGCTGGTGAGAGGTGGGGTGGGGGGCTCCTTGGGCTGAACCAAGCTACGCCTGTTCCTTTCCATGAAGTAGGGTTTCTTACCAGGCAGACCTGACATTCAAAAATGATAAACAGTAAATCTTGTCAGATAGTAAGACGGTATGATATTTCCTAAAATTCTGACTACTACAGTACATGTACTGTAAAATGCTGACTTTGCCCTTTGTATGCTATGTTCAGAAACAGTCTTTTCAAGACATAATCTCCAACCAAACCTTTTCTAAGACAAAAATTATCCAATAGGCAAGAGAGCAGTATGAGAAACATTAAGGATTTTTCCTTTCTACATCTACTTGAACATCAAGACCTCTAACTGAAGCAATCAAAAACTTACCAAGCATCCTCATGACATCGTAGTTACGCTTCATGTTCCGATATCGCGTCATCTCGATCTTGCTGAGCTCTGCCAGCTCTTCCTTGCTGAAGTACTGCTCGATGCGGATGTCTTCAGTCTCTGGGACTTTGCTCATGTCAAAGTCTGGGTCTATCATGTTGGCAAATGGGTTTGATCTAGGAGATCAGAAACAATATAAAATTAGGATGATGATGATGATGATTAGAATGAAATAAACACCCAGTCAATCATTTCAGCTTCAACACAAATTCAAATAAATTTCAAACAGTTTTGCAAAAAGCACATTAATAAGTACAATGGAAATTTACTTCAAACGGTTAATTTTTGCATATTGCAGCACATTATCCTGCATTCTGTGCAACTTGCATGCATTTTGGAAATGTTTTGTAGGCATGGCAGGTAAAGTGAAGCCTAGAGAGCACCATATCACAGCTTAGATTTGTAGGGGGGGGGGAGAAGAAAATCATCTATGGGCGGCCATAACATCATTATTAATTTTACTATCAAGATCAAGGTGTTAAAACGAACAAAAATCAACATTGACATTTTCGGCTAGGATTAGAAAGCGATCAAAATACCTGCCACTGGTGCTGGCTGCCTGCTTGTCGTTGCTCTCGTCTTCTGACCCTGACGAGCTCGAGCTGCTGACAGACGCCATTTTCACACTGTCGTCTGCACTTTACAAATGGCGGGAAAACTCCTGTCAGCACAGAAAAGTGCAGTTTTAGCCCACAGAACAAATATATTACACTTTTTAGAATTATCCATGTTTTGCGATGATTTGAAAGCACTAAACTCGGTATAACTTGACTGACAATTATTGTACCCCAGCAAATATATCACCAGTCTGTAACTCTATACGACTAATGTTGAAAAATAAACAAACCCTCAACACATAGGAATCCCTGCATATAATGTACATTTGTACTTCACAGAACTCACAGTGAATTTTCAATAACCACTACTAAAAAGGACCGTCATCTGGGTCTAAATGACTAAAAATATTGCGATGTCAATGCGAGATAAAATGTAAACAACAAAATCCTGTCAGGTTTACGTCGTGTCACTGAGTTGTCAAAATGTCGTCTGCACGGATGATGAGATAAAATTTTGAAGTCTGACAGAAAATTGACTTCACACGGCAACGACGTAATTCATAGAGACTTACCAAATGCTTCTCTTGCCGGCTGAACCAAAGTTACGCTAAATCTGAAATATTTTGCCAAGAAAATCGCGATTTTTCAGGCACAAATCCACTGAACGTCCGTCCAGCAGTAGAATCGGCGGCAAAATGACTTCGGGAACATTCGGAGGTACTTTTTCCCATGATGCACAGCGATCGTGCATTTTCGGCGGCCGTTCGGGTGTAATCGGGCTTTCTCGGTGACGAAGATTGTTGATGCTTGGAGGGTCGATTTTGAGCTTCATGGTTTAAAAAGTTTGAAACTCACTGGTTTTGCAAGTTTTGTTATATAATAGCAAATCCAATGTTGGGTGTTATTGAATACCTTAAGTTAGTGCTAGGTTTATTCGGGACAAATCACAAAGATGGCAAATTCTCTTGTAGTGTGGATTGATGTTTATTATGCTGGATCTTAGAAGGTTTAAACAGGTTTTAACTCTCTTGATCTTAGCAAAACGATGACAACTTTCAAGGTACACAAAACATATGGCATATGTATAACACACATCTATTGCATTTATGCAGTCAGAGACTACAAATTTGTAGCTCACCATCAAAGTCTAAATTTCCTTCACAACTCAGTTGCTGTAACATTACACCTTATGTAAGTTTAAACTTGATATTGCAAAATGCGATTCTATAAAGGACACAGAATGGAAGCTTTCAAGAGCCAATAATTTAATATTTCAAACATCACAATTTATTCATCATTGCACATTACTGATATTCTAAGTAAAACCTTAATACCACCTGAACATTTATTTGAAATTCATACATTGGCTATATGAATATTCACATACATGTACCTAACCGAGTTCGGAATGATTCTTGATTATGATTAATAAATTTCTTAAATCACATACTTCAATATTCTGAACAACCTGAAAAATCAGTTGCATATGCATATATGCAAAAGTTAACAGTTGCCCATATACATATATATTTATGCAAAACTTAAACCATGGACATGTGCAGTGACATCACCAATTCCTGAGCAAACAGTGACATCACTGATTTCTGTGTATTCTTATTTATTTTAGTACTGGTATCATCACTGCTTTCTGTGCACTAACTTATACTGTTTTGATTGACACATGTTCAAACCAAGCTTACACTGACATGACTGACTGGAAACATCACTTTAAGATCTTGCATAATAAGCAGATACTTACAGGTTAAGTATAGTATAGAATATCAAGTCTTGAAACTTGCTCAAGAAAGTGATTCTTATGTTAAGTACTAGTAGCTGTATCAATTCAGTAATATTCCGAGGAAAATCCTATTCAAATTTTAAGATCATATACATGGACTCAGCTACAGTGTTTAACTATTTTGTAACATTTCATATTCATTTCATAACTTAATTCTATATCAATCATGGAAGCTCATGCTTATGTGAGTGGAGCTAAGGGTAAGTGAATAAGACACATCAACAAACAAAAAGTGGGATGTTGCTTGTAGAACAAAATATGTACATCTTGAAAAAAACTACAAAGTAATGGAATTGAGAACCTGTTGTAACTGATATTTTGCTGCATAAAGAAAATATTTGACTCAAGATACACTAGCAAAACGTTCTGTTCATTTCTATGTACATATCTCTAGAAATCCCTATTGTCTTCACAAATCAAAGAGCCTCATAAGTACGATCAATAGAGACACAACCTTTGCATTTTCTGAAAATATCCAGTATTTTCAGCCAAGTCAAATTGAGCAGTCATTCATCAGTCAACAATGTGAATTTGTCAGCTTAACAATTCATCCTAACTAAATGTAACTCTCAGATGCATAGCACAGCACAGATGCTAGAATGGGTAGTTTTTTTCACTTTCTGTAGGAAAAGTTTCCAAGCATTGTCCAAAATGACAGATCTAGTAATCTTGATTAAAATTCAGATACAGCTCCAAGGAGCAGTGCTCCACAATTGGCGATAACTGCTACAATGCACTAATTGCAAATGGGTTATGTTTTTATCAAAACCTCAGAATGGGTTTACAATAAACAACTTTCCCATCCTGGTTGACAGTCTATGTCTACACACCTGTCATCTTTCTGTGATCAACCAGCTACCCTAGAAAGTCCATGATATCCCCTCTACTTAGATTCTGTGCAGGTTTCTGTTGTTGTTGCTGTTGGGAGGGACCAGGAGGCGGCCAACCCCCCATACCACCAGGATTGGTACCTCCCATCTGGTTAAATCCCATTGGCTGCTGCTGTGATGATGTCATTTGGCCCATGGGTACTTTCTGCTTCGGAGGTCCGAATAGATTATCTAGAGAGGACATGTCTGGTTTGGCTTGACCTTGAGTTTGACCTTGAAATCCAGGACTGGCTCCTCCCATCATTCCCTGATTGCCCATCATTCCCATCATCCCTTGCCCCCCAGTTCCCATCATCCCTTGAGATGGCATTCCCATCATGCCTTGGGAGGACATTCCCATCATGCTCTGGGTGGGTCCACTTCCCATCATTCCAGAGGAAGTTGAGGTCATTCCCATCATTCCCATGGATGTTGTTGTCGTACTACCCATCATGCTCCAGCCTGTGCTTCCTCCCATCATCCCTTGTGAACTTCCCATCATTCCTGTGGTACCTGAAGACATAAAATAATGATAACATCTTGTATAAAAGAGAATTACATATATTGGAACAGCTGTTACAGTATCAAAGGCCAGGAACATTTTTCATACAAAATGCTGTCATTCGTACTGACTCTTTCTTCCCAAATGAATACTTTATGGTATAGAAAAAATATCTTTTTCAACCTTGACAAAGTGACTTAAATCCCCACACTGAATTCATCCCTTTAAATACTGAAGACACATGTATTACTGGCTATAACAATTCACGTCTTGACATTAAAGTTTCAAGATAATGAAGTAAGTGGTTTTTTTTAGAATTAAGATGATGACCCACCTGTACTTGGAGGCACCATAGGTTTGGAGTTCAGTAGGGTTTTTGACAGGTCTCTGGCTTTGGGTGATGAGGCCGTGGCTTTAGCAGGGGTGGGAGACTATTGTAATGACAAACTCAGCTGTACTTGGAGGCACCATAGGTTTGGAGTCCAGCAGGGTTTTTGACAGGTCTCTGGCTTTGGGTGATGAGGACGTGGCTTTAGCAGGGGTGGGAGACTATTGTAATGACAAACTCACCTGTACTTGGAGGCACCATAGGCTTGGAGTCCAGTAGGGTTTTTGACAGGTCTCTGGGTTTGGGTGATGAGGACGTGGCTTTGGCCTGTGTGGGAGCTATGGGGCCTTGTGTCTTCAGGCGTCTCTGTTGTTCCTGGTCACGAGCCAATCGCTGCTTCTCCTCCAAGGTCAGGTTCACCTGGAAAGGATGCAAAACACACATTTTTGTAATCATGATAAAAGTTTCATCCCATAAAACCTATGACCATTTACATGCATATGTACATGTATTACATTGTACAGTGCAAATGATCTGAGAAAAAAAGTATAGCCCTGGGTGAACATGCTATAAGACTTTCACAAGGCTTAACTGTGCAATGGATACCAATGTGAAACCTTAGGATTCCAACAGGGTCCCCCTGAAACCTTAATGACGTGCCAAGTTTAAAATCGTGGTTTCAGCTTACAAGTACATGTAGTGCTGTAAGTACCTGGAAAATTGACTTAATGTTATTAGATGTCTGAGAGATTTTTTATAAAGGAAGTCACAAAACAAGCTTGTTGGACAAACCTTGGCGGGTTGGTTGGGCATCCTCCCAGGTGACATGTCCAGTGATGCGGCTGGCTCCTCTCTGTCGACCAATGAACCAGAGGAAGTCCTGGAAGATGCAGCAGCAGGAGAGCCAGACATGGAGGCGGCCACTGGTTCCTTAGCAACAGGTTTGGAACCACCCAGCCCAAAACTGCTCCAGATCTTGTCCATCTATAACAAAATAAATTTGATAATTATCATGATTATCTTCTTATAGATGAGAGATTGTTAAGAAAGTTTTAAAGGCAAGCAACATTAAAAGCAAACTATTTTGTGTAAGTTTGAAGTGTATTTTACCTTTCCACCTGCTCCCTGCATGAGCACAGACAGACGCAGAGGTAAAGAAGGGTGAGGAAGTTGTTAGAAGCAGACCTTGAGCATAATCTACATGCACTATAAACACACTTTTATCAAAGACACTTAAAGCAAAGGCATTAATGAGGACTAAAGAGGAACAGTTACTTCATAGTTTCATGTACTGCCAGCATTGCAAATGTTATAGGTTATGTATTTAAGAATTACCGCAGAGAGAATTCAAGGAAGGGTGGACATGTCTATTATTGCTGATAGAGGTTTTAATTTCAAACTTAGTCTAATAAATTCATTCACATACCATAGAATCTGAGCCACCATTTTGTTGATCTGTAACAGAAAAATACAATGTATACTATTGCATTAAAACTGTGCTCTCTTTGAAAATTGCTAAGACAGTATATAGCAAAAAATCATGTGAAGGCAATATGCAAATTGCTCAAATAAACCCATCTCACCACCACCACCTCCTGCAAACATACTGTTGGTACCTTTGGCATCATCTGCAGCTGCTTGGGTAAAGGCCAGGCTGCTTCTGTTAGAACAAAGCAGGTTTTAACAGTTAGACTGGGCAATATAATCTCAAAGTAAATGCACAGATATTGATAGAAGACTGTAAACAGAAGAAATCTTTATCCTTTACGAGTTTGAAAAAATCTGCACATTTTTTCATACTTTTCTAAATTAGTACACATCAAAAAGGAAGCAGAAATAAAAAAGTACATACATGAAAAGGAAAAAGTTGGTCCAGGAGTGGGAACAAGAAACACTGTTAGTCACAACAGGAGGAAAAGATTGTGCCAGCAGTATGGCAATAATGTTAGGGGCAATCAGACAGATACAAAAACTATTGAATAATAAGAATAAGAGTTGAGTATCTACTCACCAATCAAAGAAATGACAAAAATGTATTAAATCAAGCAAAACATGCAAATTCTGTTACATCAGTTATCTATCACCCTACTGTCCAAATTATCATCATAACCCTAAAAATACATGTTTCTCCCTCTTCCCCTTGCTTTGTGTTACATGTATCTCTCTCCCCCAACTATCCCCACCTCTGTTGCTCCTCCTGCATGGAGTGGAGCTGCTCCAGTTTGGTTCTCTGTTCCTGCTCCACCTGTCGTACCATCTCCTTTATCACCAACATGAACGCATTGAACTGGAACAGAGAGGAATACAGAAAACATTCCAGCTGAATCAGAAACATAACTTATTATAAGGATTTTAGATTGAGCACTAAATAAACTTCAAGTCTTGCATGCCATCCAAAGTCAACTGTAAAATACAATGTACTAATAAAAAAATAACTTAAGTTTACAGTTTACAGAATCTAATGTGATTTGGAAATGATCAAAGGTTCAAGCAAAGTTATCCATCATACAACTTTTAAACAATTTTTTTGCATGTTCCCACCTGTTTGGGGAACAGGAGGGACTAAACAATCTGTCATTTCTAAAACACGTTTTAAAATCACAGCAGCTTTACTTTGCTTTCTTATTTTCACCCTATGAAGCAAAATTGTCATCTAATCAGGCCCTGTATGTTCCCACCTGTTTGAGGTTGAGAGCGTTGTCTATGACAATAGGCAGAAGGAAGGGGAGGACTTTTGTGGCCAGCACGTCCCGAGGTATCCCCAGCTTCTTGTGCTCCAGGGTCATCTTATAGATTCCTGCAGGGATGCAGCATTTACTCAATGTTTAAACCAGTAGACCAGTTGATATCTCATAATTAATTAAAATAGAATATTTAAGAGCCCCTGGTCTACATTTTTTTGTACCAGAGACCCTATATCGGTGTGGGCAAGTTGGGCATACAAATGTACTCTCCTGACATGCCACACATGACATTTTCTGGCAACATTCACCCAGAAAAGGCATAAGTACAGAATGTAGTCTTACGCCAAGGTGATCATGACATTAGTTTCCCCTGCCTTTATATAGATAATTTCCTGGCCTATGTATTCCTTCCAAAATTTGAGAAATGAAGGTAGTTTGAAACTTTGAGATAGTTTCCTTAATTTGATTGATTTTTTTATATCATTTATTTGTACATGTAATAAAACTTAAGTTAACAAAACATTATACAATGGAAACCCACCTAACATGCCCATCAATACAGCAGGTTCTCTGGATGGTATCTCCTGTAACATGGGCAGAATCTCATCCAGCACATACCACTTATCCAGGGACTCCAGCATCTTACCCAGGCACACCAGGCAGTTCACTCGCACCTAGGGGGGCATGGACACAATGGTAAAAGATTACTAGCATGTCTCCTAGGACACACCAGGCAGTTGAGGCACACCTAGGGGGCATGGTCACACTTCTCAACAGTTTAAGATCCCATCCTAAGACTTTATACTGAGTCACATCTACAATACAGAGGCACCAATATGTGCACTTGTGAGTAGTTTTTCTGGCAAGATTGTATGCAACTGGTTTTATCCCAGAACAACATCATTGGCCCACTACTTGATAAGGTCACAATTATGCCTTAAGGACAAGAAAGAACTCACCACTTTTCTCATGAAAGCTTTATTTTCCCAACTGTGCTGAGTCACTTAATTGTTAAAAGAAGACAAGGTAGGGGAGGACTACCTCCACCATAACCTGCATAACATCAACCCTCAGGACAGAGGCAAATGGTGGGCTGTCATCAAGCCTCAGCATCAGTGTGCAAACATGTCTAACACTCGGAAGATGGGGAACAACAGACGATAAACTGGATAGTAAGTGAGTGAGTGAAGCTGAAACCTACTGAGAGAGAGCTTGTCTGCAGACACATAGTCTTGATCCTGGGGATGATGGAGTGTTTCATGGTGGAGAAATCCACCATACTGGAGAAGGTGGGGATGATGGCCAGACATCGCTCCTGTGGGGGAGAGAGAAACAGGAATGGCATTAATACAGTAGTGACAGTCATGCATAAATTCAGACAGTTGAGATTTTTTTCTTAGTTCAACAGTCTGTGCAACAATATGTGCATCTTTCCATCACTTACTGACATTCTGCATTTCTTTAATGAAAATCTCTCTTTTGACTAGAAATTTCTTTTCTATATATCAACCTCTATAATCCTTTTGACTAAATGTGACTACATGTACCTATGATCATCACAAATAATGTACTGGAAAATGGAAATTAGTAGTCTATCATTTAAAAAAAAAAAAACCTCAAAAGGAGACAATGCTATGCTAGCCTTTACAAAACATGACAAGTCCATTTTAGATAATTGAGTTGACTTATGCCGAGTTCTGGTGTCCCTGGCCTCTAGTTACATTCATCATAATCATCATAGATACAAGTAGGCTTAATGGTGTATATTCCTACCTGTATGGGCTGCATGGAAGATTCCATTGCTCTGTAGACCATGGGGAGGACGTGGTCTTACCTGTATGGGCTGCATGGAAGATTCCATTGCTCTGTAGACCATGGGGAGGACGTGGTCTTACCTGTATAGGCTGCATGGAAGATTCCATTGCTCTATAGACCATGGGGAGGACATGGTCTTTCACATCCTGGGAGGGAGTCTTGCTCAGAAGCAGGTCCATTTTTTGCAGGAGGATAATTACAATCTGTGGGGAAACAAGAGGTAATAATAAAATCATTATCACACATGAAATTCAGTAGGTACATATACTAGATGTTCTTGAATGTAAACAATATGTAAACAATATGATGATCTAATGTATAGCAAGTACGATCCATATAAAGCAAACATCTCCGTATATAGCAAACATGACCATATCTGTATCTGTATCAGTATAGCTGGTAACAGTATAGCCGCCATTTGGTATAACACACTAGCTTCGCAGGTACCTGGCACGGCAGCAGCTAGCTATTGCACATTTAATTGCAGGAGTTGTTTAAGGCTTTCTAGTGATGATGCCCCAACTGTGCTTGGTAATGGTGGCAATGAGTTCCAGTCTACAATAGTTCTTGGGAAATACAATGTACAAGTTTTTGAATACAATTCTTGGCCATAATAATTCTGATATTTGAAGGCATGACTGTTTTCCATATATGGTAGCATACCTGTTTTACATGCCAATATATAGCAAACATCTCCATATACATATAGCAAACACCTTTTGTAAATTATACTTCCATATTAGACCCTCCAGTTTGAAAGACAGTGAATTAAGGCTTCTTCAACCCTCACCTGGACTGGTTCAGACACCTTGAAGACAGGTTTGAGTTGAGGGAGGACCAGTCTGGTGTATTCCTCGTTGGAGCAGTCGTCGGCAATCAGCAGCACGTTTGGCAGGACAAAGGGTATCATATCGGGGTTCACGAACTCCTGGGTGAGACACGGCAGCACCCTCTGTAGCAGCACTCTCTGTGAGAGGGAGAGGGTAACTTATTGTTAAGTTTGTCTACAAATGTCTCCAGAAAAGAGAAGAAACGTGTATAGCACAGGTCATAGACCACAGCCTAGTCTACGTCTATGAAGGTTAGACATCCAGGTACCGGTAATACGATACGCCAAAAAAGCAGTTACTCAAGCAACTGGATATGATTTTAGAAACGTCATTTCCAAAATCATATCCAGTTGCTTGAGTAACTGCTTTTTGGCGCACAGCCTAGTCTCCCTATCCTTTTTGGAAGAGAGACGCACACACGCACGCACACATCCACTCACACACTCACACACACACATACAGTATGGCATGTATATAGCCCAAATCATGTATAGCCCAATTCATGCCGCATTGGGCTACATACATATACATACATACATATATACATACATACATACTTCAACTAACTTATTTAATATTTCTGAAATACTATCTAGTACTCATATCGGTCTGATGACCACTTTTTATTGATGTCATCAGGGAAGAGGCCAGGGTCTGACAGAAATGTCAATGTACAAAAATCAAATTGAAGCACAATGTCAGAAAAACTGGAATGAAAATTTACCTTTGGCAGTTTTGACATGACTTTGGGTAGACCTTTAAAGAACTGGGATTTCTGGAGGTTGTCCCTCTGGAGGAGGGTGTCCAGGTATTGCAGCGTCATCGCACCAACGTCATCAAAGAACGGGATCTGCAGGTAAAACAACAGTCAGCTGGTGTCATTGTTTCTACAGGATCTTGAAGACTTAAGTTAATGGTGTTTAGCTAAATCCTTGAGCTGCCACATACCTGAGAGATCAGGTGTTTAGGGGTAAGGTTAGGGTTAGGGTTAGGGTTAGAGTTAAGAGTTAGACTTACGATTGGAGTTAGGTTAGGTGTAGTCTCACACATCACGACTAAACTTCTCCCACCCGTACCCTTTGTCTCAGGTATATCGGAAACCCCCAAGTAGTGTCGGAGTCATGTATTTGGCAGGATCATGTATATGACTTGATAATGGCTAGGGTAATCTAAATGGCTAGGGCAACCTGATAATTAGTCATCCATTTAAAGACAGGAAAACAGGAATAAAAATGAATAAAAAACTTTTAAAATTGTACGTTCAAAAGTTGTGAATACTGGATCATGACAGTTCAGTTCAGTTCATCTCTAAACAGTTTTCTCAGAAGAATGACCCTTGACATTATGACCCCTGACCTTTGACATCTGGTCAGCATCAGGCCTGACTGTGGGCTCCACGTTCAGCATAAGTTTGACACACTCCCTCACAGGGTCAGGCACACTGCCCAGCACAGACATACGCAGGGAACCAAGCTGGGAAAAAAAATGAAAACATTAAGCATAAATTTCTTGAATGCAAGAAGGTTCTGTGAGCCTTTTAAACAACAACTGTAACATAGGAGACTAATGTCATCAAACTGTTAAAAAAGGAATGCATGATCATTGTAAAACTACAAAACAAGGTACATGTACAGTACGTACTAAGAGTTAGTTTTTTGTCACACTTATTTTAGATCACAGATCTCCATAAATTCATTTCGTTTTATAATTTAATAATTCACAAATAATACTAAAAAAAGTCAGAGAGAATGATTTATGTATATAACTGTCATTGTATGAAACATTCTTTCCCCCAAAAAGTTTACACTCACTATCCATGGCAAAAGTAGTTGTGTTAGTCACATTTTGTATACTGTATGACGGTGATGTTGTGTTAGTAGTAGTATTCCTGTAGCTGCTATAAATATGTGGAATGGGTGAAATGGGCTTAAAGTGCTGCTGTAGAACAAACCCACACCTTCTGGTAACCATGCCAGGTTTATACCGTTCCAAGCCAGGTATAACAAAACATGTAAAATAAAACAAAAGTAGGGACATATTAAAAAAATAGTTACCACTTTTACAGCAAAAGAAAATGTGTGATTATGTAATGTTCTAGCAAATGCAGTATATTCAAAACCACTGTACTTAGTAGAGCACGTCGGCTGCACAGAACCCCGTACATTTTTCGTTGGGTTTTTGGTCAACGTTGCATCAGAATTTTGCCTGTTGCAGAGGATATTCTTTCTGACACAACATTTGGAAACTACTGTCGAAATGCTAACCTTATATGAGCGAATACGACTTTATATGAGACATTCTGCTGAAGTGCTATGTACAATACATTACAGGTTTCGCGCAGGTGCAGTACGTTCTGCCGACGTGCTACTTAGTAGCATTAAGGTGGGACAGAAAGTCCATAATATAGATTGAAATGGCACATGGACTCCATACATGTATACTAGCACACCTGTTCTATGTTTCTCTTGTACGTAGGCAGGCTGGACCCACAGTCCATGATAGTCTTCCCCTGGTTGAAGATTGCGTAGAACAGCATGCCCAGCGAGAACAGGTCCCCTTGAGTGTCGCAGGCGCACTGCAGCACGTACTCGGGGGCATGGTAGTTCAGCGTCTGCTGGGCCAGCGGTGTCATGTTCTCGTCCCACTCCTTAGCTGGGAAGAATGCCTGAAACAGCACAGACACAGGAGTTATAGAAAAGGATTGTTGACAAGATAAGTAGAAAATTTGTACAAATCGCAACAAAATGGATAGGGAGTGGATGCTACCTGAAATGTCTGACCGTTTCCAAAATCATATACAGTTGCTTGAGTTACTGTTTTTTGGTGTATCTTATTACCTGGATGTCTAACCTTCACCGTCGCAGCAAAATGGCATGATTTTCACAAATGTAGGAAAAGAGCAATCTACATTGAATGCTCTTGTAATTCATCTGTGAATTATTTCATGTAGTTTGGTAACAAGTTTTTGATAAGTTAAAAGCAGGAGGGCTCAGCAAACTATTTCAGGCTATAGAGAGGCAGGGTTGGACAAGTTTTCAAAAATCCTCTTGCCCTATCGGGCAAGTACATAGTCATTTCCATTTGCCCGAACCAACTTTTCACTTGCCCAAAATATACATGACATTTTTTATGCATTTTTACTACCAGCATCTTTAAAGAGTTTATAATGCTGCATACTTTATTTATCAAAATAATGTGGTTTGAGACTTGCAATGGATTTTCTGACAAAAGGACATTAACATAATATCAATTTGGCAACATGATGAGTAATTTTGCTCCAAACGCCGTAGCAGCTATACTTCGCAGCCCAAAAATTTACTTGCCCATTTGGGCAAGTACAGGGGGATATTTACTTGCCCGAACAGTACTTTTACTTGCCCTGGGCAAGTGGGCAATGGGACTTGTCCAACCCTGAGAGGGTTCTTCTCTCCTCCTGCACAATGAATTTCATTACTTCACTGTCACCGTTTCTGTGCAAATAAACAAACAAACAAGATTGCCACTCACAGCCTGATCTGGAGGATTTGATGACGGGATGCAGAACTCGAACCCTGCGACCTTCCAGGCCCCGTTCTTGTTGAGGATGATGACCTCTGGTGTCAGGTTACCGTGGACCATCTTCACGTCATTGTGGAGGAAAGCCAGGCCTTCTGTTACCTGCAGGGTCAAGTACAGGTTATATTGGATCCATTTTTGAAGCTTTAGAACAGTTCCTTCAGTTATCATAACCGATTTCCAAGGGAGCCCTTGACAAATAAAAAATGATGAAAAAGATGGCATAAAGATAAAAATGCTTGTCCATAATGCCAATGTGTTTCGTGAATACCTCAGATGAAGTTTTATAAAAAACTCAAAATGGTCCATTTTACAATGTTTGTGGCCCTTCCATTCTCTTTGTTTTTTTTTTTAATTTTAGAAAGGATGTCAGCTTTGATAAATAAAACTAGTCCTCTCCATGAAACAAAAGATATTGAATAAGCAAATGCGGGTAGAAAAAATAACATCCTTGACAGAGATAACTACAAAGAGTACTCATCAGGTGCAAAATGTCAGACCCACCTGTAGTAGTCCATACTTGATCTCCACCTCATAGAGCTCATGGTCCTTGATGGCAGCAGGAACAGGTGTGGGCATATTCTCATAGTTACCCAGCACGTTGGCCAGGCTGGCAAATACTGGCTCTGTTGCAAACGCCAGGCTGTCTCTGTGGGAGGAACAAAGAGTACAGTCACTTATATATGAATTCCTTGATGAAACCAAAAGGCATATAAAATTTAGCTACATCTAGCTTCAGCTTTGTGCAAGTGAATGAGCTTTGTTACTAGTTGTCATCCCTCTTGTTCTTTGTTTTTCTACTGGCACTTCTAGGAGAGACCGAACAACTGATTGGAAAACATGCATGACTTTCTTTAAAGGTTGAAGGGCGTGTTGGAAGGACATGTCTATAGAATTCTGCCTTTCATGTTCATTTACAATCACTTCTCAGATAAGACTGTGTACTTAGTTGCTTCTCACCAAGGACAGGGAAACTTGTTGGCTGAAGATTGCATATTCAGCACCAAGGACAGGGAAACTTGTTGGTTACTTGTTCGCATAAATTATTTACTCAGATGGTCAAAATATAGACATGCCTAGGCTTTTTTTTAACTATGTAACATATCTAAACTGAAAGTAGTTTGTAAGCTACACATGAATGCTGTCTATGTTTGTACATGCACAGTTAAATTTCAGTTAAATTTCATCTCATAAGCAAAAAGTTCCAAAATCCCTTTTAGTTTTTCCCTTCCAATCTTCTGTGGTTAACTTGTCTCTTGCCACATCCACTACCTGGACTCCTCGAGTGGATGCTGCACAGTGAGCAGACGAGGGTGTCTGAGTCGGGTCAGCTGGGTCACTCCCCATATGTAAGAACTACAGTTCAATCAACTTCAATGCATTTCAACTACAGTTCTTACATACTCTTCGCTTATAGATGAACCCTGTACCTTGACTCCTCGAGTGGATGCTGCACAGTGAGCAGACGTGGGTGTCTGAGTCGGGTCAGCTGGGTCACGCCTCGCTTCATGGCCTCGATCACAGCATCCCTGTCCCTCCTGCTCATCCGCTCAAACTGTCTCTTCTCACACACAAACACTGACACCTCCTGGAAGCACACAGAGTACACAAGACTTCATGTGAGAACTGGTAATACATGAACAACATGTACATGTAAGTAGTAGTACTACAGTTCTTTGAACTAGTACAAATGTATCTGTAAATTGTTGTAGATTGTACTGCGTTCCTGTCCCTCCTGCTCATCCTCTCAAACTGTCTCTTCTCACACACAAACACTGACACTTCCTGGAAGCACATGAAAGCAGAGGGGATCTTGAACTAGCCTCTGCCAGGTTTTGGGAGGTGGCTGGAAAGAGTAGAAATCAACCAAAATTAATAGAGAGAGATAACATGCCAGAGGTGTTGGTCCACTAGCAAACTATACACTCTAGCAGACCAACTCCTCTCTCTATTTGGCCTCTTTTCAGCCACTTCCCAAAAAGCCTGATAGAGGCTAATCTTGAACCAGTTTAACTCTCAGAGGAGACAGACTTAGTCTTCCACAGATAGAGGAGACCGAGGCTGTATTCAGTATGTACAAGTTCAATGTAGTTTGTTGTACTGAGGGAATTCACCCGTTTCTCTACTTACATACCGGTACAAACATATGTTTGAATGTTAAGTTCAAACTACAATGTTATCCTTACCTGTTTGGTGGTTTTCTTGATGCCATTGTAGATCTTCCACAGACACCCCGGGCCACCACTGGCCACATGGTTCCTGATCTCAAACTCCCTTGTTTACAAGGTTTGTTATTTATTCATTTATTTATTTATTAATGGTTCGGCTTACAAAAAAGCAACTTTTCCTATGTCAAAGTTCTCACCTGTTTGGTGGTTTTCTTGGTGCCATTGTAGATTTTCCACAGACACCCTGGCCCTCCACTGGCCACATGGTTTCTGATCTCAAACTCCCTGGTTACCGGGTTCCCGAGCACCGAGCTGGCTGCACTGCTCACCGTGCTCTGGACCGTGCTCTGGAGCTTCTTCAGCATCTCCATGGTGAAGGGTGACCTTTGAACTTTGTGCAGTAGATGGCAGCAGGCTGAAACAGACACCTTTATCTGTTGCTATGGCAACATCTGGATGGGAGAAATAATTGTCCCGTATATGTGTTAGAGATATAATAATCTAACACATGTAATAATCTAAACCAGGATAGTGAGTGAGTGAGTGAGTGAGTGAGTGTTGATGTTTTTCAAAAATGATTGATCCATGATGGCAAAACTACATGTGTACCACTCTACACAACGTTAAGGTCTAGCAAACAACATCTACTTTAACCCAAGGAGTGAAGTATCTTTTTCAGTGTTTTTGTGTGTTTCTGACTTGCACAAAGGGGGTGAAGTCTGCCTGCCATCTCTGATGCCTTCATTTCAATAATTCTCATCATTCCTCATTTTAGATATTGTAATTGTATACATAATGCATGTAGTACAATGTATAACATTTCATTTATGTTTTTGTCTAATAAAAATGGACTTGCAGGGTACTAGACATTACCAAGAGGTGTTACATGTATAATTTTTTTTATTTCGCCAAGGAGCTTGATGAAAGCTCCTTTATTTGGCCCAAAGAGGAAAATTTTGCGATGTGTTGTTGTTCTATAAGGCTGTTTGTTTGTTTGTTTGTTTATTCGATCTCCATTAGATTAAAAAAGACATTACCTCTATCAATCGATTAAAAGATTTATTCTTGTCATTAGTATTCCTAAATGGTTTTTGGCCACGTATGTGTGTGCTACATTTATGTATGCAGATATCTAATATGGCCGAAGGGGCGTTTCCATTCAATTTTACCAGCAGCAAAAATTATCGATACTGACCTCAAAATTATCTTTGTCACTTACAGTATTCTAAAAATCATAAATTCGGCTGTTATATGCGAGCGTTGACGCAAAAACTCACCTTGTTTTCAAGAAACCATAATTTTTCACCTGGCGGCCGCCATCTTGGAATTGGAACGTCGACTTCGGTAGAAACCATTTCGCAGGGAGGGGTGACAGAAACTGCAACAAGGAAACCTTAATTTTCGTAACTCCGATGCGGAAATATGTAGTATAAAGTCCAAGATTTCGGAACTTGTCATACATTTAGTAGTTGCGGTGGGCTGAAAACGGTTTCGTTGATCGGCGAAACTCTTGACAAGTTTTTGAACAACAACAATCGCCTGAATCGCACCATAATTGTTTTCCAAGTAATTTTAGGCACTGTGGGCGTGCCCACATGTGAATATATTAAATGACGTAGAAAATGAACGAGTCTAAAAGTCTTATGGGTGGAAGTAACATTTCTTAAAAGATTAACACATTTGTAGTTTGTTGCTTTTCCTTCTTTCTATGCCAATTTCAGTTATAAATTATATCTTAGACAGTTTTTTCTACTATAACTGTTGATTTTGTATCATACAGTTGCAGTTTGGTGACACACTACATTTAAGAATTGAACTAAAAAAGAAAACACCCCCGTGTCGAATTCAATCGTCCTACAGTGGGGAATCCCCACCTTTCCCCCTTTCACACTAACTATCGAGAGGGACTCGGTAAAGATCTTATATATAGCTAACCATTGCAGAGGCAGCCGCCCAGACATAAGCAATTCTGCTAATAGCTCTCGTAGCAGGAAGTCTCTTGCGAAAGACCTGAATTTCGGGAAGTGGACCCGAAAATGAACCCCCCACACAACCAGGAACACCGGTAGAGGAGGTTCCGGTCAACTAGTCGGCGGGAAAAAGGTAGGGCTACGCTGTAATCCAAGCTTTATAATCTTGCCCTGGTCCCTGTATTTCACACGTATACACCTTTGGCCAGGGGAAATTTGTGTTGATGTCACGTATGTCCGTTTTACAGCAGGCTGGGTTAGGTTTGCAGTCTAGCAGATGTAAACAAGAGTTCCACGTGTAAGGTTTATCGATCGTGCATGGGAAATGCGACCTCAAATTCTGCATCCTACAGTACATTTTGTGTTCCCAACCCTCATAATATGTGTTACTGTAGTACTTCTACCAGTGTTTTGTGCAGGTTTGCTACAGTGTGGTTGACAGTACTGCTTTTGTGAGTGATTCCTCTGTGGTTGTCCCTGTATGTAGTTCATTGGGTTGGGCTGTGCGCCAGGTCTAAAGGCGTGGTTGTGTGTGCAGTAAGAGTCATGATTGTCAAACTTTACTCAAACAAGTCAGTTAACGAAAGTTGCTGAACGCTGCTGACTTCCCCTTTCTGACATAGCTTCAGGCCTGTTTCTATCGTACTCCGACAATAATTTATAATATAGATGTATATGTGTGTTTCTGCACGTTACCTGAAAAAGGGTGGTGCCATAATTTGTGGCAAACAGTTCAGGTGATAGTTATGAGTCACCCCTGTCAATAACAGGTGTTTTGGCTGTAATACAATACAGCAGGGCTCAAAATATTGGGTGCATGTGCACCTTAGTGCACCCAAATTTGGAGCTGTGCACCCAATATTTTCTGTGGGTGCACCATGCAGTGCACCAAAATATTTATGTATGTAAAGATGTATAGTAGTTTCCAGCATATTCTTGATATCTAAGGGTCAATAAAATAATTAAATCAGTATTGCAGTACATTTATTCCGAAATGAAACATAATTAGTTTTTGCTGACATTCCACTTATAAGGTGCACCCAAAAAACTTTTTTTAGGAATTGGGTGCACCAGTGCACCTATTCCCAAAAATGAATTTCGAGCCCTGATACTAGTACCAGCCACTACCAGGTATGATTTATATCTTGAGGAAGAGACCATGCATCAAAAACATGTTTTCATATGCCTGATGTATTATTCATTGGTGTGCACCAAAAACAAAGACTTGCTTTTATGCAAACATTTATAAACACTTCAACCTATAGACAATATGTGTCATTGTGCATGCTTTTAAATGAGGTCGCTTTTGCAAATATTTGATTCTGACAGTCAAACCTAGCAGGTCACATGGGTCATGGGTCAACCCAGGTCAAGGTTAGATGCACCTGGATGTTTTTTCAGTGATTTTCAAGCAGATGGGTTTGTCGCAACTTGTTTTTGGACTTCTTTTAAACTTTTTAGTTGTATATAAGCACGTCAGCAGAACGTAATTTGCGCCTGCGTGAAACTAATTTTTCATGGTTTTCAATTTTCAAAACAAGTTTGGTCAACGTTGCATCAGAATTTTGTCTGAGTTGCAGAGGATATCTTTTCCAACATGACATCTGGAAACTACAGACGGGATGTTATATGCGTGAATACAGCCTTTTAAATAAGTTCTGCCGAAGTGTTATACACAATACATTACTGGTTTTGCACAGGTGCAGAGCATTCTGCCGACGTGCTTTACTTGTACATACAACATGTGTATATTATTAATGGTTTTTATCGTCCAAACAGTACCCGTGCAGTCGAAGCCTTTATATGGCTGAATTGAAGCAGGGTATCACATAATAATCAATACAAATCACAACAATTACAACAATCAAATAATACAAACGATACACATATTTGTTCCACAATTATTTTTTGTGGAACTGTCGCAAGGGTCTGTGCGGCTGCCATTCGGCGCCACAAGGTGACCTCAATACGGCTTTCCCCAACCAAAGTTAGGTACCCATTCACACCTGGGTGGAGTGAGGAAAGTCGTGTAAAGTGCCTTTCCCAAGGGCACAACGTCGGGGCGCATGTTCAGACATGTACCGGGTACGACTCGGAATCGAACCCGGGTCTCCCCGGTTCATAGTCAATTGCTCTAACCACTACACCACCCGACGTATGAAGTAAGATCATGTAATTTCACAAAAAGGCCCTTAGCCAGCTGGTATCCAAAGTATTCAAGCTTTGGCTCGCTCCCCTCATCAATAATTCTGCACAGAATGTTCTGGCATCAGTACCTTTCAAATGCTTGGCCCTTACATCCGGAAATATTTTGGGCATGGAATGCTTGTTCAAACTTGAAGCAGTGTGTAACAGGGTATGATTTCTAAATGCTTGTTGCATGCATATACTGTTACAAGGACCATGTGTATTAGTCTATTAGAAGATTAAAACTTATAACTAGTAAATTGACGAAACAAGCCCCCCAAAAAGCCCCTAATATATCTGGATTGAGTATATTAAATGAAAGTATATAGAAATATATTCTAATATATAATCTCTACAATTAATTATTCAAAATACAATTTGCTAGTCATTCTTTTCTAGAAATCTGCATGCATTTTGGACAAGGCATAATCAGCGATGCTCTAATTCTAAAAACTTACTGTGACAGTCGTTTTACCACACAAAATTCACAAAGCAGTTGTGCAGTTGCTGAAGTTGAAGTGTACAACTGTTGCCTCTTGGTCTTTGGAGAAAGAAACACATTGAAAGGATTTTACTTGATACAGTGTGACACCAAAAACCTATAAATGAGTTTTGTTAATCATATGTTAAAGTACATATTTTGACAGTAATTATACATTTTTTGTTGGGCAGACGGCAACACCAAACACAGAAATTCTACTTACAATAGTTCAAACTTTTTTTATCTTATACTTAATATATCTTGGAAGAGCAGGAAGGTTTTTTTTAACGGATGTGTGGTTCAATGCAAGGCCTATAAGACCACTAATCTCGGCATTGAACTAGAAATATGAGAGAAACATGGCTATGTCAAGAGATAGCGGTGAACGTTTGATTTGAAAGCCTGTACTATGAGAATGACGTAAGTCTTGATAGTGTCAGTGACTTGTTAAGGCAACAAATCCTGTAGGACTTGCAAACAATCTAAAGCAAACAAACTGGAAGACCACTCGTACTTCTCGTGTGTAAAAATAACAGGAACAAAAATTGGATGGTTATTCTTTTCCTCCTCTTAAGTTTTATGAATTACGCCACTCGTCAAAGTTATTTTTACCAATACATAAAGTCACTAGTACCAGTACAAGTGGCTACTACAACATCAGGTGATATTTTCGTATATTTTTTTTCTTGTAACTTTTTCCTGGTTTTGCACTTGTATGTTGAAGGAAAAAAAGTAGCATGGTCAATTTTGTACAAAAACGTGATAAAATCAATGTTTTACTAGTGCTTTTTTATCCAGAAAATTGTAAGCTATTTTAAAATGTACATATATCAGGGCTGGAAATACTTGGTGCATATGCATCTTAGTGCACCCAAAATTGGAGCTGTGCACCCAATTTTTTTGCACCCAAATATTTTTGTAGGTATTTTTGTACATATCAAATGTATAATATCATGCAGAATATTCTTGGCATCTAAGTGCCAAAAAATAATAAAATCTTTGATGTAGTACTTGTTTAAAATTTTGAAGCTCCCATTTCAAGCTCAGAATTGAAGAGGACCAGTAATTAGGTTTTGTTTTATGGTGCACCCCAAAATTTTTTTGTGCACCCAATTTTTTAGGTTGGGTGCACCAGTGCACCTATTCCCAGAAATGAATTTTGAGCCCTATTCCACTGTGTGCACACCTAATCTTAAGCATGTCGATGACCCAGGATACAAATCTCTAGATCTGCATTGCTTGGTGAAACATGAAGCGGATTAAAAAGTGCCTCTTCTTCAACTCTGTTATTGTTTTGGATGAAGTTGCCCTTGACAACAAGGATAGTGTTTCAGTTCCCCATTTTCTGACGTCAAGTTAGTGTACTTTGGCGTAAGTCCGGGGATTAAGTCACTTTGTGTGAATAACAATCCATTATTCATATTTCACCTAAAAACAACCCAGTGCAGTGTTAGAAATACCCAGATGCAGTCTGCATTTTGCACAGACATTTTCGATATTGCATGTGAAAGAAAAATTTGGAGAAGAAAAATTATTAGAAGCAACCTGCAATTTTGCAGACTGAAAAATCAGGCTAGGAGTTCAATGGTGTTTAATGAAACTTTCTGTGTTTACTACTGGCTCTATAGTCAAGTAATTTTGCATGTAAAATGTTTGCAAACACACAATTTAGACTTATAAGCATGTATTTGCAGAAAGTATTTCTGAATTGCAGAACAAAATTTTGACATTCTGCAATATTGCATTGAACACTAAAAAAAGTAATTCTACCACTACAGTATCTGCCCGGTAACCAGTAATACTCAGTATGTACTGATTATTGTTCAGTGAGCAATAAATTCAGGTTTGCAAGCTAATCTACCCTTTTGGATTTTTGTGTGATTTTTTCTAAATTAAACTTTTTTTCTGCCAAGCAAATTACATTGTATAACATTACAGTCAACCTTCCAAGGAGACCACCTCTTCAAGCAGGCCACCTGTCCTGATATCTGCACATGGTGAATACATGACATTTTCGATCATGTAGATTATTGAAGATAACTATATGAGAAATCATGGAGAAACCGGCCAGTTTGCCTCAACTGCGGGATGATGTTTTTGTTCAACATATTATTGTTACATGTGCCACCCTCCCCACATGCATTTACAGAATTTGACTTTATTTTTTCTTTAAGTTTTAGAACATCTCAACTCGGAAACCATTTATGCCTCAGTCATGTTGTGAGACGACCCTCTTCAAGGAGACCACCTGTTCAAGGTGGCCATTTTTCTATGGTCCCCTGGCTTGGACAGTACATAAGTCTCACCCAGAACTGCGTGGGCACATGAAAACTGTACAATTATTCCCCCTACTTGACTAAATTTTATTACGTAGGAGACTATAGCCTCTGGTAACGTTAGAGACCGATCTCGAGAAAGCCAAGAGCTTTTCGCAGTAAGTGTCTTTTTTTCCGGGAAACATTACAAGGCCAGTCTGCTTAGTACTTATTCGTGGAACTTGCATCAAAAGGTCAACACTGTGTAGGCGGATGTCTGTAAGAACTGACTGAGCTAAATTCGAAGGCAGCGCTAGCAAGAGCAACTGCCACAGTTTTTCTTGAAAACTGGCCAGCAAATTTTGGACTGGTACTGAACCAAGGTTCACCTTCTTTGTATGTGTACTAGTAAGTTGCTTGATGGGCAATACGAATATAATTTGGTACATAAAGATGCCAATGTGCCCATTGAGGTAAAACGCGTGCGTAGGTGGGCAAAACTACAACAAAATTACTGCATTCTGACATTGAATTCGATTATGCAAATTTACCAAACTAATGTCTATCTTGCAATTCAATTTTTCCACATGGCACAAGCACAAGCTTCCAACATTCAATAAAAAAGTTGACCCCAAAAATAACATTCAAGCTTTGTTCATAGTCGACAGATTTTAAAACAGCAGCAGTGTGCTTGGCGAAATTTTTTTTTTTTTTTACCGTTTTAACATCGAACCGGGGGTTAGACGTGCTTGCAAGAAGTACTTTAGTCTTTTTGTTGAAGCAAGATTTTTACGGCTGGATGCCCTTCCTAATGCCAACCCAAACCCTAGTAGGGCCCAGGATCCCTCTAACTGAGGGGGGAAATAAGCGTTACTGTAAGTGCTTTTCCCAAGGGCAGTGTGTCAATGTCTGGGTGCATGTCCGGACATGTCTGGGTTCAATGCTGGGGATTGAACCTGGGTCCCCTTGCTTGACAGTCGGATGCTCCATCCACTACACCACACAGACGCCACTTGTGTACTACTAAGTTAATGTACTTAAATAATTTTAAAATAGATTTGTAATAGGCAAAAAAGGGTGATGTCTTCCACATGATTTGCTTGGTGTGGCCCAAGCGCGTATGTCAAATTGAGAGCTTGACCTTTGTGTGTGCAAATTTGTGTTCAGTAAATGAGGAAACTTCCTTGTAATTTACAGCCAGGTACCCCGAAGACATGCCCCTGTTTACGGAAGTAAGTGATATATCCTTGATGCAATTCTTTACAGGAAGCTACTGAATATTCTCATAAAACAGGATATAGGTGCACTCTTTGTAAGTTCAGTGTACCTGGGAAATACCCTCTTTTTGATCTTTTCCAGGTAATAAGATACGCCAAAACGCAGTAAAGTACTCAAGCAACTGGATATGATTTTGGAAATGGTCATCAATGACCTTTCCAAAATCATATCCAGTTGCTTAAGTAACTGCTTTTGGCGTTTTCCTGCTTTTCTTTGCAGTGAAAAACTTTTTTGTATTTTGTATCTGATATTTCGAGCCCCTTAAGTTGTGTCAACACTGGAGTTTTTGTTTTATACAGTTGAGTTATGATGACGTCCTATGACTATCGTGTATCACGACTGTATCCGGCCTGCTGCTGGTGGTGACTTGAGATGAATTGGATGGAGAAACAACTTCACACTTGTATAGTTGGAAGGTGAGTGAAAAACCCTGGTAAGGCTCCTGTTAACCCTTGTCCTGCTGGCATTTTTATACAATATTTTTGAATGATTTCATGTCTTAACCATTATCATAGACCCTTGACCTTTTTTTGCCCTGCGGTGGGTTGCTAGCAAAGTTAAAGATCTGTTTCACCAAGAGTAACTGTTGGTTGTTGTAATCTCTCAGGAGCTGTTGAATGCACTGTAAGTTGTTATTTTATCATATATTAACTGATATGATGAACCAAACGATTGTGAAATAGAGATACATGGTGTAAATTGTGCAAGCTTAAAAAAAAACATATTCTAAAGAATAACACAATGATTTGGTTTAACAAATTCATACTGTAACTGTTTTTAAAACAACATTTTCTCACATTTTTGTTACATTATTTGGTCACTTTGGAATCAAAGACACTATCTTGTTGAGTTCTATACTTTTAGGTTAAAGAAGTGAAAGCTTGTTTTTTTTTTTTTAATTATTTGGTGTGCATGCCTATTATTTGCTATATGTACTTCCCTGTCTAACATACATATTTGGAAGTAGACAATTAACGTTACCTCTTGTGCCAGGCTGTACCAGTCGGTATCAGGATATTACGGGGAACATCCTCTTTTTATGACAGGTTGTTTATGTTTTGTTCAGACCAGTGAACATCCTGTAATTTGAGAAGAATGTATTTTTGTTAAAGGCAAGTGCATGTGCCCCTACACTTGCCTGATTGGGCCAAGTAAATTTTTTGGATGCAAAGTATAGCTGTTATGTTGTTTGGAGCAAGTCAAACCACCTTATTTCTATACATAAACTATCGATCCAACATTATCAAACTCCAAAATAAGATTTTCTTGGTGCTAGTAAAAATGCGTAGAAATGTACATATTTTGGGCAAGTGAAAAGTTGGTTCGGGCAAGTGGAAATGACCTGTACTTGCCCGATATGGCAAGTGGATTTTTGAAAACTTGTCCCTGACTTAGTGGCTGCTAGGGCCGGGGCATTATTTAGCTGGCGGATATTTCGTTATTGCTAAATGTCACTTGCAGGTTGTTGGTCTGATATATATGGCCTTAATGCGTCTTAAAAAGTAGGCTCGTGTCACGTGTTTGTAAACCGTAACTCTCGCGAGATCACGTTGTGAAGTCATTGGTCATTAATTATCCTGAGGAAGGCGACAGTGGTCGCTGAAAATTTGATCTCTCTGTAAAATGTGTGTTGGAATCAAGATCAATGCTTTACTATAGCTAGAAGCAATGTTATGATTTAGCTGATTGTTTCTCACTTGCAGGTCTTTGGACGGGACATGAAGCCAGGGGGCCGTGGGGCCGGATATGAGTCTACTGGGATGGCGGGTCAAACTACACCAGGAACTAGCCTTCAAAAACAGCAGGTAGGAAAACGCTTAACCGGTATGTTTAAATTTTATTATGCATGTAAATGGTACCGTAATTGTCTTTTAGAAAGTACCAAGTATTGTTGAATGAAATCCATGATCAATGATATGAGTCTACTGGGATGGCGGGTCAGACAACACCAGGAACTAGCCTTCAAAAACAGCAGGTAGGAAAAGGATTTACTTATAAATTATGTAATAATGAATGTAAATGCTACCAATGTCTTTTAGTACGTAGTGTTGAATGAAATCCACAGTTCAGCAAAATGGCTGCGAGAGATTTTAACCTGTACACGTAAGTAGTGAGTTGTCAGTGTTGAAGTATGGCCAAACTCAGATTACAATGGTTCTTAAGACTGTTAAAGCGGTATTAGAACAGCTTTGTTTCAGGAAATCCATTGACGCAGATTTTTTTCAAACCTCTTTTTTCCCTTCTTCTTCCTTGTTCGGGAGCGAGTTTTACTTTAACTGCCGAGAGTTTGTTGAAATGCCAGCCCTTTGCCATGACCGTGAATTATCCAAGCATGTTTTGAATTTGAATTTAATCCTCCGGGATTTCTAAGTAAAACACATACACGGCTCTCTTGTGTGGCAGAAGGAGGAAATGGCAGAAGGCCAGTGACTAAAGCACACTCTCTGACTTACCCAGAACAGTGTACAAAATACTTTTTTGAACCAGGTTGCCCAGTGGGCAACCTACGGCAAAAATTAGGTTGCCCATCAGAATTTTAGGTTGCCCCACCTATAAGTTACTACTTTCCTAAAATTAAATTATGTTACATACATAAGCCTTTCACAATATTTCTAACAGCCTTTAGTTAGCTGATACTAGTAGCCATTGATACATAAAATTGTGGTGCAAGCCAAGTGGGCACAATTTGAGGGTGGGGCATTCTTAAAATTCAGGTAGCACACTGGGCTACCTAGGTTAAAAAATAGATTGCCCCAAGTAAAATTTGGTTGCCCAGGGTAACCGGGCAACCATTTATTTTGCACGCTGGCAGAACAAATTTGTTAGATCCACGGCCTTAATTGGTCCAACAAAGTTAAAGGTATCGACTCCACAATGTACATTTCAGTTTCTCTCTCTAAAACAAAATACAGGGCAGACAATACTCATTTTCACTTGAGTTAAGTGAGGAAAGTCGTGTGAAGTGCCTTCCCCAAGGGCACAAGGTTGGTGGCATGTCAGGACCCGGGACCTCTTGGTTCAAAGTCAAGCACCGTTACGCCTCACGACCCCACTGACATTCATCAACTCTTGTTAAACAAGTGGTTGTGAATAAAGAACTTTGCTATTTAATCATTCACCAACCTTATGAAATAATTTACCAACGACCTTTGATTTTATTTTCTTTTTTTTTGTTGTTGTTGTATTTTTAAAACTTCCGTTTCCATATCACAGCACTTTACTCTGTTTCCTGCAAATATATTCACTTGTTACATCAAACCCCTTAGGGTACATTAGTAGTAGAACAGTGCAATGGTTTGACAGTATTGCATTCAAACAAGAAGTGTTCAACACCGTTGACCTTTGATTGTTTGTTTGTCAGAGAGTAAAGAGACTCTTTTTACACAACCAAGTGTTTTATTCAGCCGACATTTTGGTGACCATCTGTCAGGAATGCATCTATAGCAGCGACACCTGTGCTGCAGTGCAATGTGAACCGGTCAGAATTGCCCTGAGGAAAGTGACAGACGGTCACCAAAACTCTGGCTGAATAAAAGACTTGGCTATGTAAAAAGAGTCTTTTTACTCAGTGTCTTACCAACCAGATGAAACTATTCACGGATGTTTGTTTGTTTGTCAGCAGGAAGAAATGACGGAGGGTTGGGACGTTCTCTGGGACCCCCCTTTGGAGCCCAAATACGAGTGTCCCATCTGCCTCATGGGCCTGAGGGAACCGGTCCAGACCAACTGTGGACACCGCTTCTGCAGATACTGTATACTCAAATCTATCAGGTAAGCTTTCCTTTTCTTTTATTTATTTATTTATTTATTTCAGCTTACAAAGAAGCCAGGGTGTCCCAACTAGTCGAAGACTATTACTAAGGGCCACCCACCCTAGGGGAAAGATAAAAATTGTTAGACATACATGTACATCCTTTTCTTTCTTTTTTTTTTACATTAGAAAAATGTACTTTTATTACATGAATGCAAACACAGAGACTCAAGAAGACATTATTAATATGTACTTGCAGTGTTGTACTTGTAGCCAGCCCGAAACTTTTTCCGTCATCTCAATTTTGTTTGAAGAATGATTTTCTAACTTTAATGTCTATTGGGGAAGGCATGGGGTCTGACAATCATAGTATATGTTAATATGTTCCTCATCCAGAATATTTTTTTTTGTTTTGTGTGAGTTTTGCCACCCTGAATTCATATTAGAAAGATGCCTTTAACAAATTTTTGGATTGGTCCATGTTGTGCTTACACTACGGCAGTATATGGTCTTCACTCAATCACACTCACTATCCGTTTAATGTCTCGTGGTCCTCCGTCGTTGCTCGAGGGTTGGACGTGGAATGTTGCCCTTGCCCTGGTTCTTCATCCAGAATATGTATAGTTTTTTGTCATCCTGAAATTGCATTAGATGCCTTTAATTTTTGGATTGTTTCATGTTATGCTTGCTACAGGGATGCAGGAGCCAGGTGTCCTGTGGATAATTCCCCCCTGACTGAGGAGCAGATCTTCCCAGACAACTTTGCCAAACGGGAGATCCTCGCCCTCAGAGTCAAGTGTTCCAACAAGGGCTGCAAGGAGAAGATGGAACTCATTGGTCTGGATGTAAGAATTTTTTCTATATTTTATTTGTCAGCTGAATAGCTGAATAGTACCTAATACCAGCCCAGAAGAGAACAAGAGATAGCAATGCCTTCAAGTACCAGAGTTATCAACCAATGAGGTTTTCAAGAATTCATTCTTTCCTAGAGCTATTTCCAGAGTGGAACTCGCTGTCACCAAGCACAGTATACGTAGGGGCATCGTCATTAGGTAGCTTTAAACAATGTCTAGAGTTTGATGTTCAAGGGTTAGGTGTAACAAGTCGATCAGTGTAATATAGCCAGCTGCTGCCGCGCCGCGTGCTTGCGAAGCTGGTTATTGTTACATCGAAAGGCGGTAGTTATACCGGCTATACAGATATAGAATAAATGCGTACAGTAAAGGAAGTCCTCACTTGAACCACAAAATGGTTTACACTTTTAAAAATTATGAAATTGATAGTTTAAGGAGAGCAATAAATTGTAGTAGGAATGTTTATCAATAAGAGTGATCGATCATTGTGTGCAATTGCTCAAAAGTAGGAAAAAAAATTCGCTAAATTACTAAATTCGCACTCAATGAAAAAGTGCAGACTGGGCATATACATTCAATTTGTAGTAATACTGACTTGACAAGTAAAGAAGTTAGATATAAATATGTCATTTATGAGTTATGGCATAATACAATACATACAATTTTCCTCTGATCTTCAGAACCACCTAAGCACCTGTAACTTTGCCTTTGTGCGTTGCCCGCTGGAGTGTGGAGACACCTTCTGGAGAAAGGACATCCCCGAACACCTGGACAATGACTGTCCCAGACGTCTGGTCAAGTGTGAGCACTGCTTCAAGGAGATACCATTTGATCAACAGGAGGTAGTGATGTTCAAAATAAATTATTTTATTTTTCTTATGAATTATAGAACCAATGTCATTTACATTGCGATATGAAAAAAAATTGGTGAAATATGATATTTTGCAGTCCTGAACAAAACAGAATGATGTCAATCTCCAATTAAAATGAAAGTGTTGTAAGGTCCATTTTCAGCAAAAATTTTATTGTAGAATGGAAATCTTCATCAGATACTGTAAGGTGCTGTGCATTAGATAGTGTTCCAAATAGTATCTAATATTGTTCCTATACATAAAATAAATGCACCCAATTTTCGTCTACGATCTAGGATCTTTTATGAATAGATACTGCATCATTACTATTATTATTTACATTGAATTTCTGAACTTGTGACACTACATCACAGATTCTTAATCATCGTATACAATGTGATTTTTCTTAGAGCCACATGGAAGAGTGTCCCAACGTTGTGCGCCCCTGTGAGTTTTGCCAACAACAGCTGACCAATGAACAGGTATGAGGGCATTGCTAAAAAGCTGAAGAGTTAGATAACTGCCATCAGTCATTATTGCATTATTACCTTCGCCAAGAAGGTTATGTTTTCAGAGGCGTTCGTGTATGTGTGTGTGTGTGTGTCTGTAAACACGATAACTTCAGAAGGCCTTGGTGGATTGTCTTGATACTTGGTAGGTGGGTAGGTCTTGATGAGACCTCAAAATGATTAGATTTTGGACCTCCTAGCGGCTTGTTATGGTACTGCAGCTGCACTTCCGGTTTTGATATCTCATGATCTAGACATGCTAGGGTGACGAAATTTGGATGGTAGGTAGCTCTTGTGCTGAGGAAGAAGTGACGTGAGTTTGGGCCCCCTAGCGGCTTGCTCTGGAACTACAGGACTATATGTTTGAAAATATTCAACTCAATGTAACTCAAGAACCGGTTGACGGATCGTCGTGATTTTTGGTATGTAGGTAGCTTATGTGATGCTTGATATAATTATTTGACAATTACGCAAATATGGATGTAATTTGCATAATTTATGGGGATATTCTATAAATCAGCTTCATTCCATGGTTGGACTATTGAAGCTTGTGACATTGGTAATTGGTAATAAGAGAAACACAGACAGGTATTAATTATGTAAATGAGGACTTAATTTGCATAATTAATGAGAAAATTTTATATTTATGTAAAGATAACTGCCTGGAATTTCATACTTGTGGTATTTGAAAGTTAAGTGAAGGTGAACATCACTAAACATAATGTATTCAAATCAGGACCTTATTTGCATAATTTATGAGGAAATGCTAGAATGGCATTGTTTGTTAATATAAGACTGTCTTTTGGTTGAGAATATGATAAAATGATATAATTCATGATTCTATTTGTTAAATCAGGGGGGAATAATCTATAATTTGTCAGTCATAAAGATTAACATCATTTGGCGAAGGTATGAGATCGGGGAACTCTAGTTGTAATTTGTATCGTGTTGAATATTGGTGATTTTATCATGTTGAGTAGTCTGGTAATCTGGTGAATACCTTCAACAACGAAGGACTACTAAGACAAGAAGACCATAAATCAAGATATTTGTGGTCATTTTAATGGGGAAATTTAAATTTTAGAAAAATATGTCACACTGCAGACCCTCAGCACACCTAGATCAACACAAAACACCTGTCACATACTGCCAACCCTCAGCAAACCTGGATTGAAGAGCCATTGTTGACAGTACAGTTTCCTTGCAGATGGCCCGTCATGTTGAGAATGAGTGTCCCAGAGCCCTGGTGCTGTGTATCTTTAGTGCTGTAGGCTGCAATGTTGAGAAGGTAAGTTCACAGTTTTTTAATGAAAAGCTTAGCAAGTCACCTTGCCTGGTTACCAAACCTATTATAGCTCCCAAGTCAGTAACCAGGCTACAAGTCTCCATGCTTTATCTTTGCCATTGATGAGGTATAGGAACATTTTTACCCATTTTCCATATTAAGGAGTCAATGTTTTTTGGGCCTGACTTATAGGTGTGGCATATCAGGTCTGACTGCACTTGATTTTTGTGAAAAAAAACAACATTCTAAACCCCTAACAAGCCTAAATCATCATAGAGCCTTCTAAAGGAGGCTAAGTTTTCATGCTAGTAACTGACATTTTCACTACCTTACAGATGGAAAGACATAACTTTGCAGAACATTAGATTTCAACAGACTCATGGACTGCTGGTAGATTGGTAGATTTCATGGTAGATACGCATTCAATGTAATATACTATATTATAATAACTCTTACATTGGAAAAATAGGAATCAAAATAGGAATCAAAATAGAGACTGTTTTCCTATTTGAAATTAATGCCAAAACTAATGGTTATATTCTCACTACCTTACAGATGGAGAGACGTAACCTTTCAGAACACTTACAAGAGTTCACACAGGTGCATCTAAGACTCCTGCTAAACGCTCTCCAGACTCTGAAAGACTCACGGTTCACCCATCGTCCGGGTAACCATTCCGATCCTCTGTCCCTTCCCGCGAGAATGCAAGACGTTACATACGAGCACAGACACAACCTTCCGCTGACGCACGAGCAGCAGCAAATGCTCGTCCTTCCTCCCGGACATATGGCGGTCGCCACTCCGGTTTCACCATTGCCAATCGGTTCCGAGCTGCCACAGGGCGGCGACGGCATCGCAAAACTCAGCCACAGCCTGCAGCAGCTGGTCATGCCCAACAGGCCCTTCCAACCACGGCTAGGAGAGACCACCTGGTCATCGGCTGAAGATTATCTTGAGCCCGTGACGTGCGCAAGTCCGTATCCAGGTTTGTTGTTTGTTTATTTGCACAATTATACAACAAAGTACATAATCAAATGATGAAAATTGGACAGGTATGCTGGGGAGGCCTGAAACCTTTTTAGTAGTTTTTTGCAAAACAGCTTTGTGAAGTCATAAAAGTTGAAGAAATTTTTATCCAGTTGAAAAGTTTAAGACACTACTGTTACAGTAAATTCAATTTATGTTCACAGTAGCAAAATTTAATGGTCTGAGAAAAATGGACATGTTCATGGAACTATATGATCACAGTGGTAATAGGTGCAGGAAAATGAAAGTCCAGGAATTATTTGTTAACTGTAATGATAACAGAAATGACAGTGAGAACAGTGAACATAAAAGTACCGTGAAAAATCATGAATTACAGTATTTTATTGATTTAACAGGAGTGATGACGAGTCCTTTCACTGCTGCGGCTGCCGCGGGTGGCGCACATGCGTACGCTCACCTAGAGGGGAGCAGTGGCTACCGGACAGGTGACCCCTCTTCCGTGGGCACATCCTCGCGAGATATGGACAGCGGCAACCCGAGATCTGAGGACAGCTCCATGGCTGACGCGAGAACGCTTCGAACCAAGGTGCACAACCAGGAGGCGAAGATCGTGGAGCAGCAGCACTACATCCGAGAACTGGAACTCAAACTCGGGTCCCTCCAGCAGAAATATTTCGAGCTGGACGAGAGGACGAAAGAGAGGATGTGTAACGGCACGTTTATCTGGCGCATCAAGGAGTACTCAAAACTGCGACAGCAGGCAGTCAAGGGAGAGGCAACGGTGCGGCACAGTTCAGGTTTTTATACGAGTTACTACGGATATAAGCTATGCGTGAGAGTGAACCTAAATGGCGTAGACTCCGCACACGGGACACACATATCTCTCTTCATCCATTTCATGATGGGCGAAAATGACGACATCTTGGAATGGCCGTTCCAGGGAAAAATCACTCTCTCCATCGTCGATCAGAACAGTAACCCAGCACAGCAACCCAAACACATCACTGAGACCCTCGTAGCAAAGCCGAGCTACGCGGCGTTTCAACGTCCAACGACACTACGCAACCACAAGGGTTTTGGTTACATGGAGTTTGCCCTCTTACGCAGTCTAGAGAATGGTCAGTACATTAAGAACGACACCCTCATTATCAAGTGTATGGTACAGCCACAATAGAGATGCAGAAAAGAGCATGTTGAGTGCTCTTGTGTTTTGATAGCTTGACAGTTTTGAGGAAAGAAGAGAATCCGATTGCAAAGTTCGAGCAAACTATCCAGTGTCGCGATGGTATTTGAGAGCTGAAGTATGATTGTGTTGCCATCTGACAGCCAACATCATTCCAGACCTTTACATTCACTCTGATGCAGCGGTAAGAAAGAGAGAGGGGAGCTGGAGAGATCTTGTTGTGACTTCAGCCTCCCTACTCCAATAAAAAAAAACCTGTAGCTTGGTACCATGCAAATTAAAGTGGATTGATATATATGGTCGTTGGAGGAACTGAAAGTCAATAACGACTAACAAAGACTGACCCGTTATTGAAGCAAAATAATTATTATGCTAAAACAAATTAACTACTGCCAATTGAAGGTGAATCATCAGCTGCCACTGCTGGAGGTGCTGCAACAGCACCATCTAGCAGAATAATGTGGAAGTGCAGGACATTGCATGGATCTTTCATTGTTTCAAGTTATACAAATGTACATTACAGAGATGAAAACTATCTTTTTCCATAATATGAATTCATTATTATTGCCATGCAAATTTTGTGTTCAGATGTGATACATGATCACTATAATGTAAAAAATTCTAATATTCAACATTGACTTATAATTATCTCTATTAATATTTTTCCTGTCCCCTTTATTTTTTTTATTTTCTGTCAAAATTTCTGCATGCTGTTTGAATATCTTTTACAAAGTTTAAACCAATAGTGGTCATTGAGTATCCAAGAATAAGAGAATTGCTGTTATTTCTGTGCTTCAAGCAGCCCTGGCAAATGACAAAATTGATGACCAATCATGTTTTTTTCCGTTTTGAGCTTGTGAGTTAAGGTTAACCTATGTATGTATATGAAAATGTTGACAGAACATTGAGAACAATATAGATAAAATGAACATATATATCACTAATAAGAGAAAATGATGCACAATCCCAAGTCATCATTAAAATCTAAACTGCAAAATTTCAACAATTTCTTCCAGTTTATTGACAACTAAAAAACAGGTAAGAGCTTAGAAAATCTTTCAAGAATGTTTATTCAAGTATATCTTTGCCGTTTTGTTTTCCCTTTTTATCGTTGCAAAGTAGAAGAAGTACATGATATGTAAAATTATATATATCTATACTATAAGAACAAATGAGCCTAGGTTGTGCTCACTACAAGTGTACCGTTAAGGTATTCTGTTATTTACGTTACGTTCCCAAGTATGTACAATCGTACGTTGTTAGGTCATTGTACATATTCCCCAAAGTGTGTGTTATGTGAATACCTAATTAAGAATGAATGAATGAAGAATTGAGAATTATTTACATGTTAAAAGTTGGACGTTACAACTTTATACATATTACATATGTATTCTACTGATTAAAGATTATGTTCGTCAGCGGAGTGTAATAAACCTACTTCGTGTTAAAATGTGTCCATACTATATTTTGTTCTAGAGTAAGCCACAACCATTAATAGCACGTTTATCGTGGGAAATTGCGATAGAAGCAAATGCCTGAACTTACGCTTGGAATGTCTTTTCGTGAGTTTTTATTTGCAAACAGACATTTCATTTCGTAAAGAAAATTCGCACCAATTTATTCTGATCTATTTACCACATGACGTATTTGAACAAGACTTTGCCTTATTCTCCCTTATAGAATTACCAAGCTATCGTAGACTGGAACTCGTTGCCACCAAGCAAGCTATCGTAGACGAACTCGTTGCCACCAAGCACAGTTAGGGCATCATCACTAGAAAACTTTAAACAACTCCTGCAATTAAATGTGCAAAAATTGAGTGTAACAAGTCGTTCGGTGTGATATAGCTAGCTGCCGCCGCGCCGCGTGCCTGCGAAGCTGGTGTGTTACGTATACGCCGAAGGGCGGTTATACCGGCTATACTAATACAGATACAGAAGCTGCCACAACAAGAACTAAATACCGTGAGTGTAAAAGGAAGATGACAACTGATAGGCAGGCTAACGTTATTAAAATCATTTGCCTTAGGTGCATCTTATTTCAACTACATGCGTCACAGATTTTCTTCATTGACAGTATAATACGGGCACTAGGCAGCAACTACCTGATAATGTGAGCACATATTTCTTACAGACATATTATTACAACGGTGAACACAGAGTAACTACAGTCAAACAAATTATACATAGATATCGATACTGCCTTTCAAACGTCTTGTCATATATACACTGTCCTCACGTTTAGAATTGTAATACCTTGCTTTTGTTAAAAGACAAACTTTTGCGTAAAGTTAGTAATACCCTCTCGTCAATCAGATGTTGGTGTGTGGTGTTCTGTGTACCTTATACATGTCTTTCTAAATGTTTCCTATCAGCTTAAATGTCAGCCGTTTGAAAAAAGAACGTCCCGAAAAAAAGGTGCGTGTATGGTGCCTGCGTCAATTTCCAATGTGACATTGGTGAAAAGAATTACCGATCATAAATTGAAAAAAAAAATACAACTCCCGGTGGCAAATGTGCAGATGTTGTCACATTGGCGCACCAAATCCATAGTGTGTTTTTGGCACACATTTAGACAGATTAGCCAAAGAGGCTTGGTGGGCGTCTCTCCACCGTACAGGGAAAGGAAGGGGAAAGTGCCTTTCCCAAGGGCACAACGTCGGGACATGGTGAGTATCGAACCCGGGACCTACAGATCATAAAAATAGACCTACAAGACTACCATGCCAGATAGAATTACAATATGCCTCAGCCATGCACCCTTCTACATGTATAAATATGACTTATAACGTTGGAATGTTTATCTTGCTTTGATTTTGAGCAGTTGCCTTCTGTGGTTATCGCTTAATGCTGCGTTAAGTCTTACCAAGTGGAGCTTTTTTTAGCAATGTACTGTAAATTATACATCATTTCAGCTGATAATGGTCGCTACTCTATGCTATTTGTACGATGTGTACTTATATTTTATATTGAAAATAAACCATTCATATACTACCTCAAATACCAGTCGTATGAAGAAGAAAAAACATCCTGGCAAACGCTGCCTGTATGGCGCCTATATTGATTTCCGGCAGTTCTTATCAACGTTACCAGACATGCACGGGGCCGGAAGGGTTTAGAATGTGCGCAGAAAAGGGCTCCAATCCCGCCCTGTTTAATAGGATCCTGTTTAGATTATATCCGTTTATTAATCATTTAGTTCACGTCGTGCATATCAATAGTTGTTGGAACATCAAAGTCAAGGTTGTTGTTGAAAAATAGAGTCAACTCTATTGACATTTGTCATGTTTGATTATGTGTGCCTTTGCAGAAGGAAAACTTGTTTTTGCTCAGTTTCTTCCTCTTCTTCTTTAGCCTCTACCAGGCTTCGGGAGGCGACTGGAAAGAGTAGAAATCGGCCAAATAGCTATAGCATGCCAGGGGAGTTTGGTCGCTGGGGGCGGCAAACTGTTGTCCCCAGCCGACCAAACTTCCCAGGCATGTTATCTCTCTATTTGGCCGATTTCTACTCTTTCCAGCTGCGCATACCTCCCGAAGCCTGGTAGAGGTTACTTCTTCTTCTCCAAACAAATAAAGTCAATGTCCTAGTCTAGGCGGCTGTCACCATGGTAACTGGTTCTGTAGCAATCACCCTTTGGTGTTGGGTTACATTTTGTAGCAGGACAGACTTGGAGAGACTGGTCTCCATATATTATTATATATGAATGTGTTTAAGTAACATTGACCAGAGCAGTAGTTTGGTAAGCTAGAACACGTGAAGGTAAACATTTTGCATTTGCCTTGCACATGTTACCTTTCTACTATACTAAAGAGACTTTCAGAAAACTCCCTTTTAATACCCGCTTGAGGAAGTTTCGAAATTCCTTCCTGTTGTGAAAGTTAATAAAGTGTCTTCTGTCAACACGTTTGGTGCCATGATGAACTGAGTACGTAAACCGAAATAGTTCCTGTTAATATGTTTAATGTTACGCCTATTACCTTCGCAAAGAAGGTAATTTGTCAGTGCTGTTCGTGGATGAAGTAACTCTTGAGGTAGTAGATGGATCTTGATGATAGTCCGTACATGTATGTGTGGATAGTAAAATAAGTCTTTTGAGACTGCCTGGCCCCCTAGAGGTTTGCTATGGGACTGCACCAGAATTTCTACTTTTGTATTCTTTTGGAAACCCCTTTATAGTATGCCTCTGAAGAGAAGGAAGTGCTAAGATTTTCGAAAGTAAGACTACAATTTATTTGTTTTACTGCTGCGTTTATTGAAAACTTCCGCTTTCTCTGGATAACGTACTACCCACGTACAAATGTAGCATGAAAGTTCATCTGTGTTGGTACAAGTCATTATTAAAAAAAGACTAAACTTTCCCTCCAACAAGGGAATAAAAAGGGACTTCCCCAAATTTTTACCCAGGCACGTATATATTTGTATAATTGGGGGGGTCAACCATAACTATTGCGCAACACGCCAGCTCCTGACATCGAACGATATGCCGCACCCGTTCCCTTTTCCGGCCAATTCCAAACTGCACCTAAACTATGTACATGTAGATGCAATACTGCATTTGATTTCACTGACTAAAATTCAATAGTTTTGGGTGGTACAACAGTCGAATTTTGGTCAATGCTTATCCTTGAAGCGTTACGTAAGTCATAGTCTTGGTGCGAGGTCCGGTCATAGAAAGACATACAAACTGTGAAACTGGTCGACGAACACAGGTTTGTTGCCATTCATACAGTCATGTACATGTCATTTGTAGCATTGATACCCCCTCCTCCCTTGGAATGGGCGCAAACACTAAACCACAGAAGTCATTTTGACGAAGACCGAGTCGAGGTCAGTCCGCAGCTAGCGGTAAACCGAGAACGATGTGGAGGGTTTGTCCAGTAGGCGTGGTAGTTTACAAGACGGGGTCATAACATCCTGTGTAAGTTTGTACACTGCGACACGCGACATCTTTTGAGGTTAGGTCAACACTCCGTTCCTTCTGGCTAACGAAGTCACTAAGTTTACTGTGATGTCTTGACGAAAGGTTAAAGCAGCACCGGACGAAATGAGAAGGAGGGGACAGTTAATGGAAGAGGTCAAAGAGGTTATATCAACACTTTGGTCCTTCTGTTGTCAGTTGCCCAACGCTAACGAAGTCAAAAAGTTTACTGTGATGTGAGGGGGCAGTTAAAGGAACGGGTCGAAGAGGTTATATCTAGCCTGGGTACCATCCTACTTGTATGCCGGGGCTCCCACACTCGCTTCTTAGGGAAGCGAGTGTGGGAGCCCCCGTATACAAGTAGGTACCCAGGCTAGGTTATATCAACGCTCCGGTCCTTCTGTGGTCTGGTGCCCAACACTAACGAAGTCACTAAGTTTACTGTAATGTCTTGAGGAAAGGTTATGTCAAACCATGGCCTTGGCCGAACAAATGAGAAGGAGGGGGCAGTTTGTAGAATAGGTCGAAGAGGTTAAATCGACACTCAGGTCCATTTTCTGCGGTCAGTTACCCAACGCTAACGAAGTCACAAAGTTTACTGTGATGTCTTGGCGAAAGGTTGCACGGAGCAAATGAGTAGGAGGGGACACTCAAAGGAAGAGGTCGAAGAGGTTATATCAACACTCGGTCCTTCTGCGGGTCAGTTGCCCAACGATAACGAAGTGAAGTTTACTGTGATGTCTTGAGGAAAGGCTGTGCCGAACAAATGAGAAGGGGGGAACACTTAAAAGTTCTAGAACAGGTCGAAGAGGTCATATCAACACTACGGTCCTTCAGTGGCCAGTCGCTAGTCTCCACCAGACTGACAATGCGGATTCAAACAAAGTAAAATTTAGCCAATAGGGAGAATAATTGACCTGGGAAGTTTAGCCAGTGTGTGGAGTTCATTTTCCCTAGCAAGAGGGGGAAATTAACCCTCCCTCTGACTGACTCTCCTGGCAAACTATTTCCCCCTTTTTCGTACCCCCAAAGGAAGGCCTGGTGGAGGCTATAGTTTACTGTGGTGTCTTGAAAGAAGGAATGGGAAGGAGGAGCCAGTTAAAGGACGAGGTCGAAGAGGTTACATCAACACTCCTGTGGCCAGTCGCTAATGAAGCCAAGAAGGTGCTGTGATGTCTTGAAGGAGAGTTGTGTGAAGCCGGTGGGAGGTGGGGGGAAGACAGAACAGGTCACAAAAGGTTAATGGGTTGTTTGGAATAATATTGATCAAAGAGAAAACTGCTTCAAAACAAACCAATGATTCGCCCGGAATATCGCAGCACAATGTCAGGCAATTATTTGCAGCCTCTCGATCAAGAGATGTCGTACTTTGGACCTCCTGGACAGCTTCTTACATTGCACGCTAAATGGGAGCACATTTGAGGGTAGGGAACGCAATAAACCTTCTTCATCATGGCCCATGGCATCAGCCCTCCCCTCCATAGGGACAGTACATACTCCCAGGTGACTTTGAC